TGTAATATTAATAATAGTTTCACCAAATTAGTTTTAATCCTTTTTACGTTCTTGCTCTCAATGGTTTACTTATAAAATAATAATCAGAGTGCAGTGGCCATATTTCATTATACAAATATAAAAAGGTACATTGAAAAAGTAATTAAAAAAATACAAATATTTTTTTAAAAATATACTACTTTATACATCAAAAATAAATTTATGAACATATCATTATATAAAAAAATACATTTCATTAGTATAAAGATAACTTTATAATCTAAAACATAAATATAATAGCCCTTTAAAGTGTTTTTCTAGTATTGCCATACTTAATTTTCAAACAGCTCAGATAATTGGTCAATAAATAAATAAATATTAAAGCATATTTACACATATAATGATATTGTTATAATCAGAATAAAATTTCTACCTTTGGGTAGTTGTTTGCAACATAATAACAGTAACAATAACCATATAAGATGAACTCTATTGTTACAGGTGTTGCCAGGCCTGTATGTGGGTAATTACAGAGATTCAAAGGATCCTGTTCAACTGGACAAGTATAAGATAACACACATCCTCTCTATACATGATGCAGCCAGAAGATTACACGCTGTAAGTATAGGTTTTAAGATATCAATGAAAATTTAAAGCATTATCATAATTTAAGAAAGTCTATAGTAAATTTTCTTTGAGTTATAATCATTTAGTTAAATCTGTATCTAGATTTCTGTTTATGTGATACTAAATAGCTAGAACGTGTTTCATTTTGAGTGATGATTTTTTCTTTTAATATAATCACAACAAATTATAATGTCTGAAATGATTTTGTATTTATGTAATATACAATCACCAATCCGTCTTGAGCAAGCGTGGTGATTAATGCTCAAACCTACTCCATGTGAGAAGAGGCCTTTGCTCAGCAGTGGGCTCTGATAGGCTGATGATGATGTTATATATCCCACGTAATATGTATAAAATTAATTCTATGTAATCATGTGAAGTATTAATATGAAATTCTTTAACATTTCTTCATTTAAATCTTTGGATAAAGCCATAATTGAGATGAAAGTTCTTAAATCGTGTCATTTTAAAGGATAGCAATAACCTTTTGTCTACAGACGTTAATTGAGTATTTCCATTAAACACACAGATTATAAAGTTTGGTCTCACCAGCTATGGATAGGAAAGTTTTAAAGGATGCTTTCAAAGGGCATTGAAGAGTAACAGATATTTACCAAATAAATCAAATTTAGAGACAAGTCAAGTAATCCGAAAACTGTTAAGTAATACTTTTGTTCTAAAAGGTTTTTTACAGTATAAGTTTCTTTGTCATAGCCATTTTAATTTCAAGGTAAACAAGGAATAATATTAAACTGCCAGGCTTGTGTTGTGGAAACACACGATTAAATAACCGTAACCTTTCTTAACTTTACTCTTTGTTTACTTTCTATGGGATTGGCTCAGCACTCTAAAAACTATTAACGTTTGATGTTACAGTGTACAAACAATCGGGATATGTATATGTATAGAACTTTAAAAATATCTTTTACACTAGTTTCATCTATTATCTCGAGATTATAAAATGAAAAATCGTCTTAGGAATTAAGGATCAAGTATTCTTCTACCTTCTAAATAATTAATTTACTGGCTTATCAAAATGTCACTACACGAAAATACCTGAACATATTTTGAATTCAATAAGTAATTATGTAAGAAAAAACTCCAAAACCGTATACTACAAGTTGTAATAAACACTTGGAATCTTCAAAGGCATTTATTCAATCTATTACATCTTTTGTATAAATCGTTAGAAGGACAAACAAAAAGTAACAGGGATGTTATGCAAAGACTGCTCTTAAACTAAAACAATTTACACAATGTTTTCCTAACCCCGCGAATCCTTTACAGAAGTTTTTATTTCTAATAAAGAGATACCAAACTAAATATTATCAAATAACTTAAGTAGTAGCCTGCATTATTTACATTATTTAACATTATTTTTATTGCGAAAAGTTTTACGAAATGCACCGTTCGTGGGTATCGTCTTATTTCTTCATCTACACTCCTCCGCTGAATATATCCTTGGAATATACATACTGTCTCCAGCTGTGTCATATATTAGCAGATGCTGGCAAATGTCACGTCACAACTTCACAACTTTGTACTCCGTGGAGAGGTGTTTAAAGAGGGTTATCGGTGACCACAATTTAGATAAAAGCTAAGGTCTTGGGCACAAGCGTAAAGAAAACAGACTTAGCATTCCATAGGATACGCTTTAGTGAGCATGCTCAGGAATTGCAATATTTAATTCTGATATTATATTTCTTAGTATCGAACGACCAGACATGCGGTGGCTATCTTTTCCCTGAAGAACTTGTTTTACATCGGGACAAAGTGATACTCTCAAATGTCAAACCAAAGAATAGGCAAATTTTTCTGCATCCGTGTTTCTTTCCACTTACAGTTTAGACGTCTTCAAGTTAATACTGTATACCCTATTACTGGGATAGTGTGTTTACCAAATTAGATATCATTTATACCTACCAAATATATACACATTTTTTTGTATCAATATATTTTCTATAATAAGTTACAATCGGCTTACATCGACTACCTCTTTATAAATCGCTAAGAACGTAACTCCATTTATATAAGAAAATCGCTGTGCATATAAACTGTGAGGGAATATATTGAAGTCCCGACTGCCGACATAAAAGACGAAAGATCTTACGTTATTTACCTAGCGGCGATCCTTATATTCAAACGAGATTTATGAATATTCAACGCTTACAGTCTGTGACGCAGAGTATTTGCAACCAATCAAGCATTTAATTTTTGTTTGTTTTTATTTGATAGAGATAATTTAAAGTTGTAGTGTAAAGTAAACGAAACGGATAATAAATTTTCGCAAAAGATATTTATCTATGCAATTTGTATTGTTTTCTTTTTATTAATCCTTCTCATTCTAATTTCTATACATTTTCCTTTCCCATTTTATCATAACACCCTTATTCCCGAAAGATGTAATACACCTAGTGCCGTAACAGCGTTTAAAGGCAAAATTCAAGCTGCAATCTATAGATCTTTTAAAAATTTTTAAAAACCTCTTCAAAGATATGAAATATTTCCACAGCCCCGTATAGTCACTGTAAATAACATTTATACTCGGTACTTTATCATTTTATTGCCTCGTAAAACTTTCCCCGCTGTTTAGTAACGTCTAAGAACACACGAAGTTGTAGCGGCGTTATTTAATCCACAGTATTGTATCTGGAAACTTCGAGAAAGTTGGACTTTGTAATATTTGCCAGCAGATGTTACTGAGGACATGACATCCGAACATACTTCGATGCGACACTGAAAAATATCAATAAGCCAGCCTTATCTCTGTCAAAGGAAACACAAGCAATAATCAGGATTAAAATTGCATTATATTCAGCATTGGTTACATGTTCGTTGTCATTTTGGATTTAATATAATCCGTTTGGTTAATATTTATGATATACAGAAGTTAGTTTAAACTTTTGGCATCATAATGGACGTTCATAATACGAAGTTGCTAGTTTCGTACCTCGTTACTTATTCAAAAGATCCCTCAGGCTCTATCACTGTTAGCAATTCAGACATAGACATAGAATTAATTCTCTAATTCTAACTTAGATGTGAAACTAATTCATTGCTTAGAAAAATTCGTATTTTTGCCAGTAATCTCAGCATATTTAATAAGCCTGACTGTGGATATTTTTTGCCGAGGCCAGTACTTATACTTATGATTTTACATAACTATATAACGTATGTCAAGCACTGCTTATCATTTAAAAGTCATAATTTATGACCAGTTTTATGTCCTCGTATCAATCATATTTAAGTGCAGTCTATCGTTGCAAACGTCTGGCGAACGTCGCTTGTAAAAATTTTATGATTCTCATTTGCTACAATTTTACTACAAACCAAACTATTTAGGACAAATGACACGCAAGTCATGTTACTATTTCTGTTTTGTATGGTAGATTCTCAGATTTTTTTGTCTTATTTTTTTGGACACTCATATATTTATTAGCTTCAAAAAACATATTAATTGCAATTTCAGATTCAATATTTATCTTTTACGTAAGAAATTAAAAATGTATAACTACTCGTAAGTTTGTGGTGTATACCTTATAATTGCTTAATTAAATGAAATATGTACACACTCCATAAATATGTAGTATATTATTTTGGTGCCGTCGTGTCACGTACACCAAAGCGAATTCCGACGTCGTGTGTCCCTGGAGAGAAATAGCATGAACTTGGTAACTTCAACAAGGGTGATAATATCAAAGCATCTTCGCTACAACAATTAATTATCATAATATATACTTGTATGTATATCTTCAAAGAAGAAGAAAGTTATCTATAGAACAGATCTAATTAAACTTAACATAATATTTCGTATAGAAATAACATGTTACGCCAAAGAAAAGATTTACTACATACTTCTTCTGACATATAAAAAAATTAAGCAAGAATTCTCCTAAAGGTGTTTTAGAACACCACAATTTTTATTCGCGAATCGTTTACACAGATATGTGGAACGTGTGACTTACCAACCATAAACTCATCGTACTTTTCGAGCCCTCACTTCATTTGAGTATGCTAAGTCAGCAATTAATGCCAGCATTTACAGAATTCCGCTTTCAAAATATATGATCAAAGAATTTTTTTACTATTCCGTTGTAACCTAACCCAATAACATATATAATACATGATTTATATATATATATATATATATCGTGCTTATTATTTATATTTTCATATAGTTTATAAACGAAATACATATATATTGACAAATATTCTACCAGTCTTAATTTCTTAAACTATAAAGTGATTGTGAAGGCACGTTTCGTTACATCTTAATATTAATTTTTTCTTTTATTACCAGAAAACTATTTATAAATGTAGAATCTTCTAGAAGAAAGACTTTACGTCTATATTTTTGAATACATCTTTGACAGGATAAACACTACTTATGCATCATGGCGTCAGATTCACCGGATCAGAATCTCACTCAGTACTTCAGTCTCTGCAATGACTTCATACACGCGGCGAGACTGAGAGAAGGGAATGTTTTGATACATTGGTGAGTATAACTTTACTATAAATTATTATTAGTATGCAAAAAGTTGGGAATAGTTTACCCTATTTGCCCTTTGGCAATCGGCTCTCTTACTGATCTGACAAAATGCAGCCATTAAAGACTACTTGGCGTCGATCTTCCATGAGAAGGTGATACTTCCCCGGTCGAGCCAGCCCATGTTCGAGCTGCAGTAACTTGACCACAGCTAATCTCTACCACATACAGAAATTATATTAAATACTAAATAATAATAATGTATTAAGTGAGTCTGACAAAATAAATTATCTAAACATTTTTATATTGCAAAAGTAGCTATTTTAATACTAAAACTTTTAATTATTAGTACTTTAATTAATTAAAGAACTAATTTTCTTTCATGACGGTGAAAGAAGACAAGCTATTAATTTAGTAGAATCCGACTTGAATAATTCGCCTTAAATTTTTGCTGTAAATAATATTCATTAAAAAAACCTTTGGACTAAATCGGTAAAGTAAAAACCGTAAAAACGGTAAAGGAAAAATGTAAAAATCTTCTTTAATACCACTTTATGTAGGGAAAACCTGACAATTTCATTCATATAATTTTGCTTTACTCCACTTGGAAGTTGGGGTAAAAGATCTAAGAATTTTCTGAAAGAAATAGCAACCCGTAAATATATTGACGCGTGATTTCAAACCTTATTCCGAAAAATATACCTTTGAAAACCTCACTGAATGGTCGTTTCTTTGTGAAATATGTATGTAGGTTAATATAAAAAATAATTATTTGTGTTGTCATATTTAAAAATATACAGTTTACATACAACTTTCACAGTATTTAGACTAAGGGTTTTTGTTACATACATTTTACCCTAAATTTTGCTTTAAACTTTATATTATATAAATTGGGAATATATTTTTTTTAAATCATGCTCTCTTACAAAATCAAAAAAGAAAAACAAGTAATTTTTAATGAGCCAGAAATTTTCTTATAACAAAATATTTATAACACATACGCTGGAAATATTTTCCACACATATTTTCCTCATGGATTTGATTTCAAAAATTCGCAGGTTAAAAAGGAAAAACAAATATTCTGTCCACACCGGACGTTACCCTCAATTTGTTAGGTCAATGAACTCGTGACTACATTAGTTAACTTTCGTTAGTTAAGTTACCCAGTTACCCTATATTACAAGTCAAGTTAAATCAAATATTCATACTGGTACAATTATAGCAAAGGTATAATCATTATTTAACAACTGGTTCATCTTGATTACTATAATAAAATATTAAATATTTATATCCTCTCAATGAGAAATAAATTTGATTTAGATTCTCATTATAGTATATAATAAATTATACTATTTTAGTCGTAAAAACATCTCGAACCGACCTAGTAATAACAACTTCAAAGAGAACGCCAATAACACGCGACTCACTTTGTTCCTACGTATGATTAAATGTAGTATATAATATTAAACAAAGCTTAAAGTGTGTAAAGATATATATAATTTGAATAATTTATTCTGAATTATGAAATTTTAATAATGTTTATGGTTTTATGAATACTGGAAGGTTAAAGTATAAGATATATTTAACTCTTTAAGATAGCCTCGTATTAAATGCAAACAAGTACTCCATAATGCTTAAAATTATTCCAAAACAATATTACCTTTATATTATATATTTTATAACTGGTAATTTAGGCTTTATATTGTAAGCTTAAGCTTTAAATATGTATATGCTTAAACACAAAAATATTAGTACATACAACACAAATAAATAGTTTTCTAAGAGAGATATCAATAAAAATGATTTATAAGTAATTCAAAAACATACTAACATTAATTAATTATATTAAATACTAGCTTTCCGCCCGCAGCTTCGTCCGCGTGGAGTTCGGTTATATCGCGTTTCCAAGAAAACCTTTTAAAAATCTGGAATAAAAACTATCCTATGTTCTTTCTCAAGGTCAACTCTATCTCTGTACCAAATATCATTAAAATCAGTTCAGTGGTTTAGGCTTGAAAGCGTAACAGACAGACAGAGTTACTTTCGCATATATAATATTAGTAATATAAATATATAACAATGCTGTACTGGCAATGTCTAAAATGTATAATTAAATTCATTTTATACGATCTTTACCAACAATGTTTACATATAAGGACCTGGAAAGTTTTTATAACCCCAAATGAATACGTCTCCTGTCGTAAATCTACTTGGCAGTTTGCCAATTCGGTTACATAACAGTTACATACATAGGGGAAGGGGGGGCATAACGGGGACGCGAGGCACGACGGGGCCACCCACACATACAAGTAACTACGGTCGCTAGCCGTGTTTTGTTTTAGCCAATCAGAGGGCATTTTGCATTGACCTTCAGTGCGTCAGCGACCGGCGATCAGAGTGCACGCATTTATTTGTGACGATCAATTCATTTTTCTAGCGACATTTCATCTAATTTTGAGTGGTTACCAAAACGCGTCTAAAACGGTAAGTGTTTAGATTACTACTATAAGTTTTTTAATGTGTATTGCTACTAACATCAACTATAGATATGTTTTGAGCGAAATCACTCTTACCTTTAATTATTTTTTTTTGTTCGTTATTTAAAATTCTATTAGACATGGGGGCATAACGGGGACATAGCTATGGGGCACAATGAGGTACCCCATTGTGCCCCGTCCCCATTATGCCCCTGAATGGTCTGCTAATTTGATAATATTATAATAATTATTTATTTTGTTTTAGGTATATAAAAATGGTACGAACTTACAAAAAGAAAAGTTCTAGAGGCAGTTGGTCTGTAGAAAACATGAAACACGCAATTGATGCAGTTTTAAGCAAATCAGCAGGTTACAGAAAAGCAGCTCAAATGCATGGTGTTCCACAAACAACATTGGAGCGTCACGTCGCAAAAATAAGGAAGGGCGAGGTATCCTTAACTCGACTCCAGGTAACTTTAAGCCTGTATTTTCCAAACAAGAAGAAGAAGAGCTAGTTAGGTATGTAAAAGATATGGAGAAGCGATTATTTGGATTGACAACTGTCGTCCTACGAAAACTAGCCTATCAGCTCGCTGAAAAAAATGGTAAAACTCACAATTTTAACCATGTTAAAAAGATTGCTGGCATAGATTGGTTAAAAGGCTTTATGAAACGTCACCCGGATTTATCAATTCGAAGACCTGAAGCTACATCGGCAGCGCGAGCGATGGGTTTTAATAAAGTAGCCGTGAATAAATTTTATTCTTTGCTAGGGGAAGTATATGACAAATATAATTTAACGCCGGATAGAATATATAATTGTGACGAGACTGGAATATCATGCGTCTCCAAAACAAAGAGCAAAATCATTGCTGAAAAAGGCAGAAAACAAGTAGGCTCCCTTTCTTCTGCAGAAAGAGGGCAGACAGTTACCGTCGAGATATGTTTCAATGCAGCCGGAACTTATATGCCTCCCATGCTAATATTTCCTCGGCAGAGAATGAAGCAGGAGTTACTGGATCGAGCTCCTCCAGGGACGACGGCGGAATGCAACGCTCGAGGCTGGATGACAACTGAAACCTTCATGAGTTGGTTCCAACGATTCGTTATATTTTCTGGGGTCTCAATTACTAAACCAGTCTTGTTACTTCTGGATGGGCATGTAACTCATACTCAAAATATTGAGGTTATTGAAAATGCACGTAAAAATGGTGTTGTTATGCTTTGTTTTCCCCCCCATTGCACCCACAGGCTCCAACCCCTGGATGTCGGCTTCATGAAGCCATTGAGTGTGTATTATGATCATGCTTGTTCTAACTGGTTACGGTCGCACCCAGGCCGAATAATTACAACCTTTCAAATAAGCGAAATTTTTGCAGATGCTTATATTCAGGCTGCAACAATGTGCACGGCAATTAATGCATTTAAAAAATGTGGGATATGGCCATTTAACCAAAATAATTTCACCGATTCAGATTTTTAAGCTGCATCAACAACTGACATTCCGATCACAAATTATGAAACTGAAACAACTTCTTCAACTGCTGATATTCAGCAACCGTCTTCAACTGTTAATAATCAGCAACCACTGCCGCCTCCCCTTGAACCTATTTTACCTGCAGTACATCAGGAAACGCCTATATCAGAGCCTCAGTCTGGACCATCTATGCAACAAGAAAATAGCGTTTCCCGATCTCCAATCCGAAGAGTATGTCGTGATTTAACAACTTCCTTTGAAAACGCTTCTCCCAAAGACATTCTCCCCATCCCTACCGTTGAACAAAGAAACCAAACGAGAAAAAATTATCGCAGAGGGAAAACGGTTGTTCTCACTTCTACTCCCTACAAGAACGAATTAGAAGAGCGCGAACAACTTAAACGGACGAAGAAGTGTTCCAGTCCGACTGATCACGGATATAAAAAAAACTCAATGAAACAGAGGACTCAAAAAGCTCGCTCTGAAGGCGAAAATGTTAAGGAGGATGCCTTATGCATCTATTGTGTTGACTCAAACCACACTTATTTGAAGTCTTCGGAGCATTGGGTGGCCTGCCAACTATGTGGACAGTGGGCCCATACAGCCTGTGCAGGAGTTGATGACGCTGATTTGGAAGAAATCCACATCTGCTTATTCTGTGATAAATAAAATAGTGTACCCCGTGCTGCCCCAGACTGAGTACCCCATACTGCCCCTACCCCGGGGCACGATGGAGTTTTCATTAAGGTTTTGTATTATTAAAATTAAAAATATTATTTGATTTCTTACTTCACCAAATTCGGTGCCAAATGATAGCTTAATAAGTAACCAAAGTGTTGTCATTAGTTTTCATTAAAAAATATTTTATGTTTACTGTTTTTTTTATTTTTTCCCTTAAAGTCCCCGTTATGCCCCCCCTTCCCCTATGTGATCTTATTTTTTTGGAACAATATTACCTTTTTTACCTGTAATGTATAATGAAAAGGATATGAAAGTATTGCTTCATATTTATTATTGACATATAGTTTTGACAGCACCTGTCAAATGTCAAAGTTTAAAAAGACAAACCATCTTGAATTTATTACTATTTTTTAGAAAAACTATACTCAAATAATATGTTTGAATGAATAGTCCTATAATAATTTCTTTACTCTTTTTTCTATTGTAATTCGTAGAAAGAAAAATAGGTATATTTTTAGATATAAGACCCAACGACCAACTATCAGAATACTAATTGAATATTAGTTAGGCCCCTATAGACCTCATTAATAACTGCGTTATACCGTAGATGTGCAAAAGCTAATAGTATCTTTTTAAATATGGACGTTATTTTCAATAATAAAAATCAAAAATTTTTCACATCTTAATCTGTACTTAACAACGAAATTATTCTCATAAATGAAAATCTAGAACATAATTTTATTGTAACAATTTAAAAAATCATCAAGAAAGCCCCAAAAAACGAGGGTAGTCGTGAATTTTTAATCAAATTGCGGACATGATTGTGGGTGTGCTCTCTGTTAGATTTTAATGAATTACAATTTGTATGACGTAAATAAGGCTGTAAACTGTAAAGGTTATATACCTATACACATTCTATTATGTTTTTTACGTAAAATTTTAAAAATAGAATTTCATTTGGCGTCTTCTGACAAATACATACTTTAATAGGTAAATTTCTGTATATTTTTTATGACAAATTAGTAAGTGTTTACCCGTTTATCTAATTAATTTAATATTTATTTCTAGAATAAATTTGCTTCTTATACTGAATTCAAAAGTTAAATATTTAAATCTTTTTTTTTGCTTTCGAATTCTGTTTTAATAAAATTTATTCCGGTTTGAAATATCGGATACAGAAGAATTTTTTTCTTTATTTATGAATTGGTATTACCCTTATTACACGAATATTTGTACATATATTAATTTAGTTAATTTAATTTGTATTAAATTAATAAATTTTTTGTAAATTATGTAAATAAATACAAAGTGTACAAATGCCAATGACACAGTATGGTTGTATAAAAATGTTGATGCTTCAGCTTTTGTTCTTTTACCAATTATAATAATAAAATAATATATGTTGTAACCCAAGATGTTTCTAGACCGCTTCATTAAAGGTTTCGTAATATTTCCCGCAACGCTGCTCTGCCGTTAATTAGCAAAGGGTAAATACAAATTAATTTTTTAAAGCTAATTACTATGAGGTTTTAACATCAACTGTTTAGTTAGAGTTATACGACACTAGATTTTAGTGAAACGCTAAACTTGTATACCAAATAGTTTAAATGGAACTTATATTTTCGGATTTATAACGCTTTTTTTATTTTTGACTATAAACTACATACTCCCGACGTTTCGGCTACTTTAAAAGAACCGTGATCACATCTCGTCTGCCCGTGATCACGGTTGCTGTAAAGTAGCCGAAACGTCGGGAGTATGTAGTTTATAGTCAAAAATAAAAACGCGTAGTATATCCGAAAATATTTTGTGAGTACTCGCGAAAATCTTAGATCTCATTATACAAAATAGTTTCAAAGTAGCACAGCTACAGTCGTTATACGCAGTGTTGTCTAATTTAGAAACATCATTGTTAGTAGACATTGTATTTCCAAGAGCGACTGATTTATTCCCTCAACAATATCTACGTCTAATACCAACTTTCATATATTTCATCCTCTATAATAGATGACTGTTTTCCTAATGATAAATCGTTTGTAGGAAAAGAATTGGACTCCGAAAGTAAAATGAATTTATTAGTGAAGTAACGTTTCTATAGTACTATCGCTTGCAGTAGCTTTTGTAGGCGTTGTGTATGTAAGTTTGAGACTAAATATAAGTATATATTTTTAAAATATTGGGTTGAATGTTTGATTTATCAAACAAATATTCATTTATGTTCATAATGGTCTCCCATTTTGTTAGTATCGGCACATAACTAGCGACTAAATTTATATATATGTTCCTTGTGAGCTCTAGAACTTGGCAGCAGTAATAATGGGTAGATATTAAATTCCAATACATTTATATCATTATTTTCTAGTCTGGCAGGGATGTCACGCAGCGTCACTGTGGCTGTGGCGTACATAATGTCGGTAACTCCGCTGACTTGGCGTGAGGCATTGAAAGTTGTGAGAGCGGGTCGGGCCGTCGCCAACCCTAATCTCGGATTTCAGAGGCAACTGCAAGACTTTGAGACTTATAAGCTTGTGGAAGTGAGTATATCAATTTATGAGATCTACTTGTTATTAGTATTTATTTACGTGATATATGGAAACTTTTATATTTGCTAGGGATATTGAATGCGTAACAATAGAATTGTTTGTATTGACATTATTTTAGTTGACTTAGAATTATCTCAGTATATAAGTATACCACAGAAGGTACTAAAGTATTATAATTAATAAAAGAACACGACTGTTTAATTATTTTAATTTCACGGACTCCATGAAACTTGATTCGGTTCGTGAATTATTTAATAGATTTAATATAAATATATTATTATTTAAATATTCATCATTTATATTTAACTCTAAAAGAGAATATTGCAGTGATAATATTTAAGTACGTGTATTAAGATTATTTAAAGTAAATTATGTAGGGTCATAAAATAAATATAATATTAATCACATTTTTATTTATTCTAATGTACCAATATTTTTAGTATAAACAAATTATTCCCTTCGAAGTGTATGTATTTTTCTAATACTATTTCGTGTATAATTTTTCTAATAAATCTACTCGACCAATGTAGAATAAAATGGTAATTCCTTGGATTTCAATGAAATAAATTGACTGGACAATTTAAATCACATTATAATGTATTCGTACATATTTTGTCTGGTCTTCGATATCAACAAGATTTTACGATCCACAATGCGGGTGCCGGATCAATCGCGTTGCAGGGAGAGGAGCTTCAACAGTGACTGGGACTTGTGACCCCGGTGTAGGTTTACTAACGCGCGTTATACGCTCACCTCCACCGTCCAAGCTCCTCTCTATTTCTAATTAAAATTTGAATCGAACCCATTAGGACTACCTTCGAAATATGTTCTAAGAATGACTTGATGTTAGTTATGGTCAATTATAATATAATATTATTATTAAATTAATATAAAAATTTAAACGTGTATCACGAACCTGGCCAGACAAGTGATATTATTTAATCTTTTTAACGCTTTTTGATTACCAACTCTCCTTTCACCATATATAGACTATCGAGGCGATTCTTATGCGTTTTTTGACTCCTCCACATCCATCAAATCTGTCGGTTCCACCTGTTTTTTTATGAATACTCCCAAGAAAAAGTCCAATATGGTCGAATTCATTGATCTCGCCAGCCGCTAAAGGTCCTATACGTAAAATAATGTTTTACAGCAAAGCTATGCGACACATTTTTATAGACTATTGTTAGGGAACTAACAAAAAGTATAAGACATTAAATATTTTTGTTCATTAAACAAAAACATTACCCAATTAATGTTATTTAAAACAGACAAAAAATACTCTATTAATAACGAAAATAAAAGTAAAATAATAGAAAATTTAATATATATATTACAAATTTTGCTAACAATGATGATAATCAAATTCTAGTTCAATAGCATGATATTCATTTTGCAATATTTTCCTATCAGTAGACAAGAAGCTGCATCATCGATTAATTTCTAAAATGAACGTTATTTTTATAAAACTCCCAGACTGTTTTGTTTTTGATAACTTTGCATAAAATTAAATATGTTCCACATGTTATAAAGGTCATAGTTTTATTATATATTAAGAGGATATATTTTGTCTATCACTAGAAAAATCTACCTATAATTATACATATAATTATACATAAGTCTTCTAAGTAGTGTACCTATTTCAAAAATTTGCTGCATGCATACATATATGTATATATTTATATATATGTTCAAATATTGTTGAAAAACCTTTTAAACTTTTTATTAAACAAACATTTCAAAACACAACTTCGTAATATACTTCGAATATTTTTATTGTGGAGCGTAAACATTTTACCGGTAGAGTTGATACCCAAACGTGAATGAAAACAAAAAGGCTTTGAAAGTGAAGCAGAAATATTTTTATTTTAATAAAGAAAATCAATTGTATTAAACAGTATTCGGAGTTTAATAACTTTGAAAATTTGTCTCCATCTTTAGATAGTTCACTTAAAAAATATTTAAAATAACGACTGAATTACCATACAATATTGATTATCATCTATTTATTTATTCTCCTTCAAATTCCGTTAATTATTTTATGTTTTCTTACGCATATATTTTTTACACAATTCAACTATCTATATAGCTTAGTAAGATACACTCATTATATAGATTTGGTCTCATACGTGGGTAAATTACGCAGAATATTATTCCTAGACTCGTGTGTACTTTTATTTTCAGATATACAATCAAATCCGTTCAAATCCAGTTATAGTTTATTATAATGTAAATGAATTTTATATAGGTCATATTTAGTTGTATTTTATTAATCCAATCAATATTTCTAGGAGAGGAGACGTTTGAAAGAACGCTATCCATCATTGGCGTTAGCTGACAGTGACCTCTCTGAGTGTAGAGTGATGCTTGACTCGTATCAAACGATGCTTAACCAACGAACTATATGTGAGGGCAAGTGCTCCATGGGACGGCAGTGTCCCACCGGTACGTAGTAACATATGGGTTTTATAATTATTTTGCTGTAATCTTGCCTATATCTTGTTTAAACTCTTATACCTTACAATCATTATGGTTAATATCATTGTTTTGAGTTATGAATATATGGATTCATGGTGATTATTGTATTTCGTAGGTAGGGATTGATATAGTTGTTTTGTGTAGTCGTCAAAAAGGTTTTATATATAAATGTAAGTAATAACAATATGTAGGCATATTATTATTAAACTACTTGGTATACGTAAATCCAGCGTTGAATATGCTCAGAAAGAAAATCTTTAATAACATTTTTTAAGTAAGTAACTTAAATTGTAAGTCTTTCATTTTAAAAATTAACTCTTGAGTGTTTTTCTTAGTTGATTTTGACGTGGTTCTAATGTTTTTCTCTATTCTTAAACTATATACTCGTATTTTTCTTATCTATGAAAAAATTCTGGCAATAGCTATTCGATAAACACAAAAGAATATTTCTCATATAATTCAGCTCTAGTAAGTCTTTTTATAAAATAAAACTCATTTAAAAAATTAAAAACGAGTAATTTTCACGTCCTTTCCCTCCACGGTACTTGACCCAAGTCAAAGCAATTACTACCTTAGACATACCTATATCGTATAAGTGCCTTAGCTAGGAAGGGTTTTTGGTACTTTGAGCCTAGGAATTCTAGATTATATAATTGTTTCACATGTACATGAACAACTAAAACTAATCTTTATCTGAAACAAATAATGTCTGTGTATGTTTTATTCAATAAAGATATCATAAAATTATAGCCACTTTTTATTTTGCATCGAATTCCTCTAACAGTGTTTAATATAAATTGGGTAACATGAATGTCTGGGTTGCCAAAAAACGTGTTTTTACTAGCGACAAAAGCGGTCAGGTGACTAGCCCGTCTCGACTGAACGAAATATTGGCTATGGTTTTAATTTGGCGTCAAATTTTTATGGTAAATATCATTCAAAATTTTTAACAGTAGATCAATAGAAATGTGTGGGATATCTAGATGTCGGGATAGACATAGGTATCATACACCACAAACATTGCAACATTATAATGATGAATTTACTTGATGAATCAAAGCTAAGGAATTCATAACACCATAACACATTTCTACATACGCTATAACTGATATTTTCATAGTTTCAGCTGCTTGCTTCTTATTTTCATTTATTTTCCATTACTCGTATAGCCACATTAGTTGTACACAAAATTTACATTTATCCGTTTAGGGAAATTACGCTTTAAAGACGAAAATCAAGCTAGACATTCATTTAGCACGTAGAATTTAATTGAAATATGGCATTTTATTGGCAATTTAATCTTCGATACGACTTATTTCTTCTAGGCGTCTGCAGAACTGGTTCTAAAAGACAGCCAAGACCTAGAAGACCGTCTACTACAAACGAGGAACCGTCCGGAATAAAAAGATCGCCATCAACTCTGTCCACAACATCCACCGCATCTGGTTACAGGCCAAGATCTTCACCGGCCGGACTTTATAGTTATACTGGAGGTAACTATACAGTTTAAGAGTAAGTACATAAAATGAAGCAAAACATTTATTATTAAAAACAAAAAATAGCAATGTAAATCAATATTCCTATCATTGATTATCTTTCTGTTTTTATTTTACTCAATGAGATCTAAGATTTTCGCGACCATTCATTTAAATGAAACTATATAAGTTTCATTTAAATGAATACTTATATATGAGATATGAGTGTAACATCTCGTCTGCCAGTAATCACGGTTGCTGCAAAGTAACTGAAACGTCGGGAGTATGTAGTTTCTAAAAATAATAACGCGTGATAATCCGAAAACATTCCATTCATATTGATAATCATCACTTATATTTTGGTCATTGCTAGTGACCAACCGTTATAATTATTATTAACTTGACCGTCTCTATCTCTGACAATAAACTCTTTCATTTTGATCATTGCCAGACATTATAACGTAACGATGTTATCATTATTATCATTAACTCGACCGTCTCTATGTCTGACTACCCTCAGTTCCGTCCCGCCCTGTTCGTTCGTCATCCGGTCTCTCTATGACTCGTGTGTGTGACCTGGGCGGCTCAGCGGTGGCTGTGGGCGGCAGTGAGTACTCCCGAAGACGAGCAGCCTCAGCACCTTCGACCCCAGCTGCCTCTCCGCCCGCCTCACCTCACAGAACACCTCATAGGTAAGCCTCAATTCCTCTTCAATGATCCCATGTACACAATTCAACATCCTCAATACACGACAGACGTAAATCATAAAAGTACAGTCACAGTCACTTGCTACTCATCACAACACAGTATCATTTCAAAACTCACTTGTTCATGTCTCCGTGAAGTTTCAATAAGCGATTTCCTTACAAAAAACTTCGTTGATCATATAAAACTCTATTTAATATTTTCAATAAAGTGTCGATTTTAACGTGTCATTGAAACCATTCTCTCACTGCACACATACATTCAACGCCTCTGCCGAAGCTTATGCAGTTTATTTTTTATTTGTTAATTTATGCTCAGCGGCGGTTGTGCATGGATCATACCCTCAGTGAGTTGGCAGCCCGAGTCTTTGTGATCACGTCATTGTGCGCACCAGCCGGCTCCACAAGGTTACGTCATTATGTCTTTTGTCCATTTGTCCGTCTGGCTTGAGATATTGAATTCGTTTTCAACCGCTATCTAATCTTTTATGCTAGTTAAAACAGCCCGAGGCATGCCATTCATTCCATTGTAAAGAATATCAGCTAGGCCGAGGTTTTGTTCGTTGCAACAATACTATTTTTAAAACCGAGCCCCAGTGAACCACATATTGTTTAATAAGGTCGAGTTTTAATGTTTTAGATTCTTATTCATGAGGTTTTTTTGTATAAAAAGAGCTTTATCACAACTGAGGTCGCGACAAAAGGCTCGTTCTCACGAGCGAGGTAAGAGACTTGACCGTTCTCGAGTGTGTAACCCCCTTTATTGAGAATCATTTCACCTTGCTTTGAAAATGAAACACATAGCGTTGGCGGAGTTTTGTATAGCTTGGAGGGTGATATATATTAAAAATCTATAGATTAATATTTTTTTAGATATTAGTACGTTTAATTTAGTCGTAGTTTGAATTGAATCTGTGAATTCCCTTTTTTAGTCTACATAGATTTGAAACTTTTTTTATTTTAATCGTATTTTATTAGTTGTACAATATTTTTTTTATTACATTCTACTAATATATTATATTGCAGGTCACGTGCGCTACAACGTTGCTCGTAGCAAACGTCTACGAGGCTACGTCCTCTACGCTGATGCTACGTCCTCACTCCCCTTGTATTGTGTTCATTTAGTGCGCTGTGCGATTGAGCTTACGCCTGAATATAGTATAATTTACATACAAGGGATTACAGTGAATGTGTTGTTTACACTTTATATATAAGGGCAGCTAGCATGAATACGCTTTATACGAGAAAAGTGTTATTGTGGACTATTAAAATTGATTGAAAAACAACTAGTATTAAAAAAATATTTCCAAAAAACTAATACATCGATGATATATTCGGAATTGTTAAAACTAATGTTTAAAAATTATTTACATTTCGTTAAACTGTTACATACAACGCATTAAAATAAGATATAATATTATGATTATGAAAAGAATATTTTAATAAAAATTTAAATATTGTTTGAGAGTACAATTGAAATTAAGGTTTAAAAATTGTGATGCTTTCAAGGCAAGTCTGGCTGGTCCAGTTTTAAAGTAAGTTATATTAAGCTATAATGTATTATTAAGATTCTTCACTGATTCAAATGTAATTTCTCTCACCTATACTAAAACGAGGTGCTTTCTTGTATCGCTTGCAATATGTAGTGTATATAAACTATTTACTATTCCTCTTTATTGATTAGAATTCTCCAAATCTTTGTAGTGTAAGTTATAGAACTAAGAAATTAATTTACACTGCTTAGCAGTTTCAAAATGAACTCTATTCTTGTAATAAAACCTTCTCACTAGCACTATGTAATGTAAGAGCAAGCGCGAAACCACATTATTGTGAAATAATCTAAGAATACTTGGTTGTGCTGTAATCTAAGAACTAAAGTGCAACAACGATTCCTAACTTATTTACGCTCAAAATAACTTCGTTTTCTTAACTTTCTCCTCTGAATAACTATTTAAGTAGTCTTCAGTTAACTCTATAGTGAATAAGTTGTGAAAATTTTGCATATCTCTCTCTTACTAGGGCTTAGCCAGATAGAAATTGTGATTTAGATGCCTTCAATGGTGGCTAGTAGATACTAGTTATAAAATCATGTGATCAGCCGTTGAAGCTTTTTTTATATATTAAACAAAATAATAACAAAAAAAACAAATTCAATTTCTGAACGGTTGAAGAATGTTAAACTAAGTCCATTTTGAACTGTCAAAGTCATTATCATTTAACGTCACTTTACGATCAAATACGACAATATTTGAAATAAAATTATACATACATGCACTATTTTTGTCGATTTTATAAATATTATAATGTTTATTTTATATCCACGTAATGTAAGAGTGGTTATATATTATGTTTGTTGTAGTTATATACAATAAAGTTTTTTCATGTTGTTATTAATGAGAGGTTTGATGTTCTGTTGTATTAAGGTGTTTTGTTGAGCCTCAATATTATTAAGAAAGAAGCAATAAGAGGACATTGATTCTAAATAATTAGGTATATTGTACCTGTATATATTTTTATTAAAAAAATATATATATTATTAAAATAATCGTTTTATTTACTGTATTCCCTAAAGGGTTTAATTAAGATCATCTTTAACGGGTTCTTAAAGTAGAAATAATAAATAGCGGACTTGTTTGAATATTGTTTATTTATATTCTTAAAAACTTGGAGCTAAAACATTTTAATTCATATATCTAACATTTATTTGTTCAGCTTTTAACAACGGCCCTGGTGATTGTCCTATTTCTGTTTACAAAAATAATTTCATTTTTTTTAAATAGGTAATAAAGAAAATAGGTTCTTAAAATCTACACAGTTTCGGCCTACATTAAGTTACAATAATTATCATCCAATAGCCCATCTTAGTGTTGAATAAGAGTCAAGATAATTGACAGATACCATCTACATATTTTATTCAGATAAATGAATTTTACAATACAAATAAATTAAAAAGAAGATATATTTCATTGAAGATTATTTCTTACTTATAACAACATTACATTTGATTATTTAAATTACAATTACGATGCACATCATATTTACAAATAAAAATCCGTAAATACAATGAAATAGAATATCATATTTATATTTCATATACTTATCTATTTTTTATATTAATTTTTTGAATTTATGTAACAAGTAAAATAATAAAAAATATTAAAGTCATGTGTTACAAGAAAACACTAGTAACAAAATTATTCCTGAAATGCTTTTTTTTGTTGTTTATTTAAATGCATTATATGCAAAAATTTACTATTGTCTTATTTTCTACAGAAATATATGTAATGTAGAAGGTGTAGATATGCATATATACATAAAAAATTAAGTGACAGTTATGTAAAAATATAAAATTATTTAGTTATCGAAAGCGTAGTAACTAGAACTACTTAAACTATTCCAAACAAATGCATTTTAAGACAGATTTAAATGTTGCTTAAATTAGTCGGTATTTATGTCCGAATAAAATATATGGATAATCATATTTTGACAACTTATACATTTTGACAGGTTAGAAACTGGAGACATCTCAAAATGCATTTATAAGGCAGAGGCGGTTATTGTATATTTTTTTTTAATTAGAAATCGGTATAACGGGAGTGCATAGCAATATTATTGGACGGCGAAGCAACGCAGTTTTGTATTTAAAGCGGGCCTCAGGCAGAGATAGTTTACACTTAGCTATCTAAATAAAAATTAGGTGCCGTGCTTCTATAGAATTTCCTTTCTGAGCTCTAATATGTACAAAACTTTCTGCTTCACAATAAAATGCACTTTCCACTTGAAGATTTTGAATGTGATTTGAATTGTATATTTATTTATCTATTGAACTGACTATCTATTTATATATCTGTACAAGGTTCAGGCAGTGGCTGATTATATCGGAATTTGAAGCTATAATATTTATCCTTAAACACATTCGATTGGGAGCATTAGATATAACCAGAATTCAATATATTTAAGGTACAGTAAAATTCTAAAATTTGTTATCCACTAATTGTCATTAAATATCTATATGTGAAGATAATAAGTATATTATAGGGCGCTATTTTACATCAAGATAAAAATTACCATTCTTTATTATAATTTTTTTTCTGTAAATACTCTAAGAAACTATATTCACCTATATAGCAAGTTTATGAAGACAAATAAAAGATACATTACTTAATTCTGTAATAATATATTGTGTACACATCTTTAGTGTATTACAATTAGCAACTCTTTCTTAAATTTACTATACAACGTAAGTATCCTCAGTGCGCCGAAGTCGTCGTGTTTAAGCAAAATATTATTCATAAACTTTCAAATCATAATATCGAAATAAATTTTTAAAAAGAAAAACAAATATCATATTTATCCACAATTTTTGTTTAATATCTGCTCATATAAAGTCGTTTTAAATTCGTAATGAAATAGCAGATATTTCCAACACTACCGATTGTGCTAATATTGTAAATGCACCTATCACATCGCTTGCTGAAATTTTTTCTATAATTTGTTGAATCTTCATTCATCAAATGAGAGCAATAACCATAGACAAAAAATATCATAGATAAAACAAATAAAAAATATAAAATCAACAACAAAATTTAAAAATAGATTCACTGGAACTCATCATCGGAACTGAGAAGCGTTGTTTTTTCGTGATAGTTTGTAGCATGGCTGATAGTGGACACTCGCTGAGGCGGAGGTCGAGGCGCCAGAGCAGTTCCTTCTTCAGAACCACGATTACCAATCCCGGCGCCTCTCATCACTAAATCATTATATTATAATGCTTTATATATATTTAAATAATTATCTACCGTGACATGTGTCTCTAAGTGTTTGAGGCGTGTTAATATATAGGCAAGTGTTGTGTCCAGCAAAAAAGAAACTCTTGGTTTCTCAAAATAGTAGTGATCTTTATGTTAAGAAAAACATCTATGAGCTTTATTTTGTATGATTTTACATCTTTATAAAAACACTAAATCCATTTCTAGAACGTGTGAGGTCTTTGCATCAATTCATTATGAAAGTGTTGTATTGTAATTTAATTGAAATAAATTTCAATTTATCATCAAAATAAAAATCGTTAATATGGTCAGTGTTTATTTGTGTTACTCGTACTAATAATAAAGTGGTTTTTTCACACACAAAATACTTAAATTATGTTAGAAATATGGTGATGTATGAAGAGATAATCTTTGTCATTTGTGAGTCAATGAAATTACATTAAAAATAAACATTTCAACTGACAACACTCATAGCGACATGCTTGCAACCAAAAGTAAGAAGCGAAAATAATATTCATTCTACTTACCATTTTCAGTGGCGTGTTCTATAAAACATACATTTACATAACATACTTAAATAAAAATCTACATTTAGAGTAGAATAATCGTTTATTAATTAACCGTAAAGTACAGAAGTTCAAAATCAACTATTGGTACCGAACTATTTAGCTCAATTCTTAATAGTAATGAAGATATTGCGAATATTAGAAAAAATCTCGAAAGTTCAAAGAGTACAAAAAAAAAACTTATACAACTAACATTAACTTTAAATAAGATATTTTAAACAGAACATTTACAGGACGCATAAATACAAAGCTATTCACATATTTGCCTGCTTATAATTTTAATTTTTAACAAAATATTTTCTGGGGTGAAAAATATCAACTTACCTGTGACAAATCAAGTTACTTTATGAACAAAATATTCGCAACAACTACCGGATTAAATCCTCTATGATACATAACAAAAATAATAAAAAAAAAGAAAAAAATCACAGAAAAAATAAAAATATAACACACTAACACAATGTCAAGTACAAAAGAAGTTGACTGTTAATAAAATGGCAATGTTTAGATTATTATTACTAAATATTATGAAGATAAAAAAAAAACCTATTTAATTCGTTTTTTTATTCATTTATTATAGAGCAAAATTAAGCCGGTCCTACACGGGTAGTGGTTTTATAACTAGAATATTGTGAATGGCAATAGAATTATATCATGCATTTATATGTGTAGAACCGTCTTAAGACATCGGACTAGCCTAGCATCGACAGATATGACTAATGTGAAACTTATATAAAGATCGACCGAGCACCGAAATCCAATACTTTATTTTTAAAACAATCCTGAACAAATAATCTCAAAATTCATTAAACATTTTCAATATAAGGCCGCATGTGAAATAACCAGTGTTAATTTAATCTTTTAATGTAACATTTAAATGCAATGATTGCTCTCATGCTCCGCGGAAGGACATATATTTTTGTTTCTTTATCATGCCACAGTAATATAATGACAGCAATGCACTTCATGCATTCAGCGTTTATAGTTTCTCATAAGGCAGGTGAGAAGTGACATCTGAAATATTAAAACCGAAAAGGAAATGATAAAATAAAAAAATAAATAAAAAATAAATCGACGCTCGTGTACACAGTATATCAAATGACAAATATATATAAACTATTTTAAATCCAAAAAGTATTTAATCCGATTTGACACGAAGCGTAAATTTATGCAAAATGGCTACCATATTAATTTTCATGAAATAGGAAAGATTATATAGTTTTAACAGACTATATAAAGTATAAACCTAAATCGAGCATTAAATATAAACTATATCTATTATATAAAAACCATTCTACGTATGTTAACAGCAAATGATACATGAGAGGCCATGCGACATTGGTGACGTCACTCACCCGAGCTGTACTGCGTGTATTGTTGGTACTGAGGGTGGAAATTGTGGAACGCGTCCGTCATTATGTCCTTGGGGTTCATGGTCTCCTGGAATGTCATCAGCAATCATTTTATTATTTTTTGTACAAACAAAGTATACAGTAAATTATTTAATGACAGATGTGTACAAAGGGATAACTTATCTCTAACAAGAGATCTCTTCCAGAAAACCTGATTCTAGTGGAGATTATTTGTAATACATATTTATGGTGTAGGTACAACATCAAGAAGTTTATTATAATAAAATTAATAAAGATATCTCAAACCGTAAAATTGAAATAAATTCTCAAAAACTAACAATCATGTTAGTTGATGAGAATTTATTTGCATGGTGTCTTGTTATTTCAGGAAAAAATATTCTCAACGGGTTTCGATTTCAAGTTTAATTCAAGACAAAAATGTAATTCATCCCAAAATTTGCCGGTTGCTTACAGTTTTCGTTTTTAAGGACATTATTATTATTAATTTCTCCCTAACAGTCGAACACTAACTTCAAGCATACAGAATTGTGATCAAAAAGCTAAATATTAATTTCATCCGAAGCGAGTAATGATTATGTAATTTTTATGTGTGTGTGTGGCTGTATTCTTGTATGTGTGTATGCTTGTATGTATATACTTGTCTGTGTGTGTACCTTGAGGCTGCTGGAGATGCTCTGCATGGTGACGGAGCGGTGCGTGTCCCTGTGCGCTCGGTAGACGGCTGCGGGGAAGGCGTACCGCAGCGCCACAGCGGCGGCCAGCATCTCTATACAGATGAGGAAGTTCTGGTAACCGGCAGACACTGTACCAGCCGTTGTGGGGACTCCGTTAGCGTCGAACAGAGGAGAGATCACCTCCGCCTTCTCCAAGATAGCCAGAGCGACACCTGGAATGTTTAGGTTCATTATTATTAATATGATATATATAATTCTTCTGTGAGTGTTTATGTCACTGAACTTCTCTCAAACGACAGGATCGATTTTGATGAAATTTTTTGTGTGTGTTCAAGGGGATCTTCGAATGGTTCAGATTCACAATTTTGTCCGCTGGACAATGTTTTTTTTTTATTAATTTTTTAATTTATTAGCAGTTGTTGATACAAACGTTTTTTTTTTGACACTAGATTTGACAACTAACTAATATGTCAATCATTCTGTCGCACTTCAAAACACGGAGATTTATGGCTTTAATAGGTAAACTTCAAAAATATAAATAAAAAAACTTAACAGATATTTCTTGATTTTAGGGCGATACGAAGTTCGCCGCGTCTTTTAGTATACTATATTATCTCTGCAATTCTGTGGGTGTCGGTATAAAAATTATTTTAATAAATTTAACTTTTCATCAAGAAGATGTAATAGTTGGTGTTTTTTTAAATTATTTAAGTTATTTGTAGGTCAGTTGTTTAATTCATTTCATCATCCAGACTTATAAATTTGATGTATATAAATAGTGATACATAATTATAAAATAACCGCTTTTTAGTAAATGTTTATATTTCTTAATCTTTATTTGCCAGTTTCTTCATACTGATTTCAATAAGACTTTCATCGGCATATAGATAAGTCATTACTAAACATACATTTATCCACTAATTAGTAAGGTTAATTGGGAACTACATTAACTAGAATCATTTATTCACAAACCTTGCCAGAAAGACAAGAAAATGACAGATTTGACTGTGAAGAACTTCAGTACAGGATCGAAAGGCTTCAACATTTCCCTGGTGGCTCCGAGGAACAGGAATAATCCGTACAAAGCAAGACTCACAGAGAAGTTGTACACGATAGTAATGTACAGATACCCTCCGTTGGCTGTCCAATCACCATCGTGGTAATGGCCAGAAGACTGTAAACAAATAATTAATAATTAGAGATGTAAAAAAAAAATTAAGTAGCTTACAATATTTGATTTGCGCTTTGTGATTGAGATAATAAAGAAGTTTTTGTTTTTTTTAGAAGTATATTCAATACAATCAAAATCCATATATTTTTTACATGAACCATCTTTATTCTTGGACAATAGGTTTTATATTTCTTAATACCTTACATACAAAATCACTAATATCAATTTGCTAGTTTTGTATGTGTAATAAGAGAAATATAAAAAAGACAAAATTAATTAATAATAATATGAATTTCATTAAAATCAATACATATTATTGACACAATTGTGAAAAAAATAACATATTAATTAAATTACGAGATTTCATGCAATTTTTATGTAAGAATTGTTTGAAATTTATTATGTAACAAGCCATTAAATTACATATTAATAGATACATGTTATAGAGTATAAAAATATCTTGGGTTGGGTTAACATCTGACCTTTATATAAACTTTAAGAAATTTAAGCTGAAATAATTTTCTGGCGTTAATCATTTGTAACTTGAGTTTTCGAAATTTGGTTTTTGTTACATCATGAAGGTAAAAAAAAATATATACATACATTGTTATATATTTTTTTTTGCAATCCTAAACAATTTAATGCAATAATGGCAGAATGTGGATAACCATTTCAGGCATACATAGGTATGTAATTGATAGACTGATTAATTGTCACATCAAGTTTGACTACTATATTGACGGCTGTAATGCGACATGCGATAGGCCTCACACACAATGTGCCAATTTGACGTTGTAGAAAACAATAACATAATAATGAATATAAAGGATAATATAATATATACTTCATAAATAATGTATATTAATACATATAAATCCTACTAATATAATAATTGCGAAAGTTTGTGAGTGTGTGTGTGTTTGTTACTTCTTCACGCTCAAACGACTGAACCGATTTTGATAAAATTTTGTATACAGGAAGCTGACGTCCAGGAATAACACATAGGCTACTTTACATCCCGGAAATCCGCGGGTAACACCGCGGGGCGTAGCTAGTGATTTAATAATGATTAAATTTATCACCATCACCACTAACCTGCAAGAAGATGATGATGAAAGCGCAGACAGGCTTCACCAGGCAGAACTGAAGTGTGGCCTGCTTACAGAATCTGAGGAAGCCTATAGTGTAGGTCGCACCGGAGAGGCAACAGGTGCCATTGACACAGGAGGCCCTCACAGGCCGACCTCTCAGCTCAGACATGATGTTACCCTCACCTCCGAGATACTCATAGCATAGAGACAGGAAACTGTATATCACGAACGCTGGAACACAAAATATTTACTTACAATCTTATATATAAAATTCTCGTGTCGAGGTGTTAGACAGAGAACTCCTCTGAAACGGCTTGACCGATTTTGATGAAATTTTGTGAGCACATTGAGTAGGTCTGAGAATCGGCCAACATCTATTATTCATAACCCTAAGTCATAGGGGTTGCTCGCCCTTAATTTTTTATTTTCGGACGAAATTTTTTGTTTTTATTTTTTTATAATGTAGCATTAAAAGATACATACAACCCAAAATTTACTTTTTTATATGGCAAAACAACGTTTGCGGAATCAGCTAGTTACTATATAAATACTAATGAAATAGTTAAAAGGTTTAAAAATTTAGAATTAATTTTAAAAATTAATATTATGGAGTCAAAAATTTATTCATATCCACAAATACATTATGTGTGATTGTAATTTAGAACAGATTTAGATTATGTTTGATAAGATAAGGCTGTGATTCTGGTGTTTATTATTTGTATAAATTTAATATGATTCATTTGTTTTTTAATTTTTTGTGTGAAAGGCATGTGTATGATAAGAAGAGTTTATGATTCAAAATGCATGATTTCCCCTGTGAGTGTTTAATAAATATAAATTTCTTAGATTGAATAATAAACGTAAAAATACATTTAAAATAGAATACAAATACAAAGTACCACTTTTTCTTTTACTATCAAACAAATATTATATGTAAATGAGAAATTTTGTAAGGATTTGTAGATGCATGTTTTGTGTCACTTTTTTACACCAAAAACTACATGACATTGACATGTCAGAATAACATATAGGCTGTAATTTATCTCCAAAGAGAGTGTTTTAGGTATAATAGGTGTATTCATCAGACAGACGATAGATAAAACTAATATTTTCGGATTTACAGAGCGGTTTTTTATTTTTTACTGCAACCGTGATCTCATCCGCCTGCCCGTGATCACGGTTGTTGTGAAGTAACCGAAACGTCGGGAATATGTTATTTATAGTAAAAAATTAAAAAACCGCGCAGTAAATCCGAAAATATTAGTTTCATTTAAATAAGTACTCGCGAAAATCTTAGATCTCATTATCAGACGATAGATGTCGTTTTGACGACTAATTACTATGTGTATAGTTTTAAAGCACTAGGAATTTCTCTCTGAGCTTAAGTAAATGAAGACACAGTCATAGGCAAAAACTAGTAAGTTAGTTAACTAGTTGTCCTTGACTTCCTAAAGACATCTAATCTACAAGTGGCATTAGAATTTGTGCCATTTTCATTTTACGAATATTCTGATGTGTGATGTATTTACCTACTTGGCATTAATTTAATTATTCAAGTAATATCAATAAAAAATATGCATTATAACTCTATTTATATAAATCTAGAAAAGTATAATACCCTGTTCCAAATTTAAACTTTGACATTTAAAACTTTTTTATTTAAAAAAAAAAATCTGTAATAACGTAAATTATAGTGCAACTGGTATCACATTATTAATAAAACCTTTTTGGTGTAAACCATTGCTATTTCTTTCTAATAATAATTACTTTAATTGATGCATAGTTAACATGACATACAGGGTGACTGGTGAATTACTATCGATATTTGAGGACGTGATATTTGACGATCATATATGACAAAATAAAAATTAATATAACATAAATATTAATAAACTTCTAAGTAAAGTTAACCAAAAGTTATGTAATTAATTACGCATCGTATGAACGCCCTACAGATTAGGTATTCACACACACTCACACACTCGCGCGCGGCGGCGTGTTCTTGTATCAGCACGCCACCGCACTCGTCCACACTTGGAACACTTGGAACGTGTACACACTTTATTTATTTATACGGAAATTTTTTCAAAAATTAAGTACCTATTTTTTTTACATAATTCGAATGAGAATCATGTACCGAGTATTCTCCTTAAATATTGATAGTAATTCACCAGTCACCCTGTATATGTAACATTAAGTAGTATATGTATAACAATTAATAATAATAATAATATTTATTTGCTCCGAATGTAGGTACAGAATATAGATGTATATAATGGAATCTAGTATAAGTATTAAGTAATAAGTAGTACAACATTGTAATAATTTCTTGGAATGTACAATCAAGCCTTTGTCTATATATAATATCTTCCAACGAACGGTTAAAGCAATTAAAACGTATACCGCTAATTATAAATTGAATAGTAATAACTAATTAAAAGTAACATACATAATTACCTTCATAACAGTCTCTGACTGTGAAAAAGTACACGTAGTAAGAGTCGCCATTGAAGAAAAGCAGCGAAATCCAACTGTAGCATCCGTATATTGGTACGATGAAAAGTATACGTACTATCCATCGCTGCTCAGACGGATTAGTGTACCAGCGGAGGTGTTGGTAAATCTGCAATGTATTAATAAAATATATTTACAATACATTATAGTTTCATACGTACTATAACACGCGATGTACATATTCAACGCCATCTGGTATCAATCGATACAACTATTATAGTTATTATTATTCAATTGTCCTAGTAAAAAACTTTAATATAGAATAAAATATTATGAATGACATATTTTCTCTACTATTAAAGTAGAATATGGTATTAAACAAATCATTATCGATGTTTTTGATACAAAATAATAATTAGTGTCAGTTTTAATAGGACAGGTGGAATTAATTATAGGTAACGCCGGAGGAAGCAGCTAGTGAGAAGAGTTCGATTTATGTACTAAAAATAACTTTCCATTAGCTAGACGTGAACCTATAAAGCCCTGATAAGACATTATTCTGTAACAAAGAACACGACGCCTTATGAAGTTAGCTTAACTTCAGACTTCTAATAGTTTATTATTTACAGTTTACTCACAAAGTAATATTAAGTCATTAATTTCATAATGATTTAATACATTTTTAAATTATAATCTGTCAATCAATAAATTCGCGTCTCCCATAGTAGCAATACAATATAAACAAAAATAATAACATACGATTTTTATAATATGTACTTAGACTCGACCATATAAATCGATATTAAACCAGTTTAGCAATTTCGAGTACCTAAAAAGCATTAAAATGCTTGTTGCTTTCCGCCAAGGCCGCACCTAGCGAATGGTGACTGGCGAAGATATGAACGCTTTAATTTTTAAGTAAAACACGGAAGTTTTTTTGCTAAATTAATTTTAAACTTTCACATTATACGTTTAAAAAGTTGTTTTATCTTTGAAACTATATGTTTTTACGTTCATTTATTTTGATACTCATTGGGTACTTCGTGTAATGTTGTTATTTTATAATTTTAGTTGTAATGTATTCAGGCCTTTAGACGACCTTCACGAGTTGCCAGTTTAGAAGTTGTTATACCGACTTTGGGGACGAATATACATAATATACAAAAAAAAATAATCTAGAACATTCTATAGAATTAAAATAAATTATAAACATGATTTTTATATAATAGTGAAATCTTATCTAGATTGAAATTAATCCTATTTTCATTTGTTCAAATAAACTGATTCATTTGTTGATTTACAAGAGAAAGATAATAATAATAATATTAAAATATTTTGTAAAAAGTAAAATATCTAACTATACCTACTATGTATATTTATTCTTCGTATTTGGATATGAAAATGATAAAAATATATAGTCTACAAATATTCAACGACAAAATTGAAAACAAAATTTTATAGCGTTAAATAATTTAATCCAACAATTTATAATGTATGTTACCGTGTTTGCGATTGGCCATCACAGTTTGACTTTCACCTGTTATGATGAAACTAAGATCTGCTAAGAAAAATAGTAAACACGATAGACGCGAACCTTATAAATATACCACGCTATAACATTTCTATAATGTTAACATACAAAACTTTTTCGTATTAATTTTGAGTAAAAAAAACCGAACCAAACCGAAAAAGAAAAAAACCGACAAATCATTTTTCGAGTCCAATCCCACTTTTTTATTAACACCGATACACTATTCTATACAGATAAAAAAATGTAGTCTCTAACCAAAAAGTTTACAGTTTATTAGTTGACCATTAACCAGTATTATTTTTATAACCAACTGTTTTCTTGTGCCATATGGTTTCTTTCCATATAATGAAAAATGTATGTGTAAACAAAAGATTATTTGTATGTAAACCAATTAACTGTTACAGTATTTAAGTTGTATAACAGTTTTAACTGGATTATTAACCATAATTTTACTAATCATAACATAAATAGGAACTTATTAAAATATGAACATATGTAGTCTATTTAATTACTCATTATTATATCTTTGGGCAAATCTATGAATGATTTATCTATAGAAAGAAATAGCATTAAAACTTCAAATTATTTATTTTTTTCTAGAAAAGTCTGAATAATTATTCACACTTGAAATTGTAATAAACAATGTTATTATGACTATCCAAAATTAATGTACATATTGTTTGTTTTATCTGTAACAACTGTGTCTACAGAGTACCAAACAGACATTTTAAAAATAAAATATAAAATAATTGATTCCTGAATAATACTGAATACTTGAAAGTCACTGAAAATAAAATGAATTATATATAATAAATGTTTATCACCACTGATAAGAGCTGATACACTCCTTTGCAAACAGTTTTGCTTATCTACAGCCAATTAAATAACAATGTACATACGTTACTTTAATTTTATTTTCTGCCAATGGTTTGTTATCAAAATATACACTTCTAATAAACTTTTTGAGTCACACAGAAGATATTTTCTAAAGGTATTTTTTGTTATTCAGACAATAACTCTGTGTTATTACTAGAACTAGCAAAGAGGACAAAAATAATGTATTTATTTAATATATTATAGACATTTAATACGTTAAACTCCCAGGCTTTGTAATGAATTGTATTAAAATCTATTTAAGACAAAAAAATAGTTGGTATTAACAGTCATGAACTAAAAACATTAATATTACCCGAGGGACCCACAACAGTTACATGAAAGCGTTTTAATTTACCTGTTGGCAAGTAATGAATAGTGCTGTCCATACAAATATCCCAGCGATGACCTGAGCGCTTCTCGTCTGTAGGAACACCGGTTCCTGGAGAGGCTTCAGGATCTCTTCAACAGCTTTCGACAGCGGCTGAGCCGTTACATTGATTGTCTCCGTTGAACTCATTCTGATGCAAAACATATAATTTTCTTATAATATACACTACTGTAGTATATAAAACATGTTTATACATAGGCATTTATATATATTTTACAATTTTATCTCATTATTGAAGACATATAAAACCTTTGTGCCATTTTTTTTAAATAAAAGACATTCTTTTTCACATAACTGAATATTTGAAGCAAAAACACAGTGTGATCTACTAGATATCATTTAATTAACATATAGCTAGTAGATTAGATCATCAATTATATTATTACAAAAGATAGAACAATATTAGCCAGAGTTTGAATATGATACACAACAATGATGCAATCATATTATTCATTTATTGATTCATATTCTTCTTCATATTCTTCTTTAAAACAATAATTTCTAATATATCTATATAATAAATACAAAGAATAGGTACAGTTAAATAATATACGAATTGGTAATGTTATTACAGATGGAAAAAATCTCTTCCCCTTCTGTTTAGATCAACCTCAAGGTCAGTTTTATTAAATTGCTACTGAATCTATGTCTGCACATCTATGGACTGTTAATAAACGGAAACATAAAGAATAAGAACTGAGATAAGAACGAAAATATTTGTAGCAATGTATGTAATATATGTAATAAAAATTGAATTTCATGAGTTTCATATTATGTTTTATTTGCATTGATAACAGCTGAAAAAATAGAAACGTGTAGCATATTGCTAGCTGTCTCAAACTTTTAGATCGTTTTATAAAACGTAAAAGTGAAATTATTTAACCACACATTAAGATGTGCAAGCACCATTTCATTTCACCTAGATGATAAGTGGACCAATCTGAGCGTTAATGCATCATTTGCAAGCCACATAACGGCTTGAGCAATTTAATGCACTAAAGTATGATAAATAACACGGATCTTGTGTGGAGGTCACTGTAACGTAATTTGGAATCATTTATTGGAAAATCATAGCGAAATTGTCTCCAATAATTTTATGACTAACTTATTGGAATCTGGAATTTCCTTAATCCGATGATATAGTAATAAAATTTACCTTGTTTCTTATGAAGTTTTTTGAGATACGTTTTCCTATTGTTTCACGTCAGATGTCAATCGCAATCAACACAGCACATATTGTATGAATTTACTGTACACACAATCTCATCGATTTTGTCTACATCAGTAACGAAACAATAACAATAAACACTAAATGTAAACAATCACATCCACAACACCAATATGTTAAAATTAAATGTATCACAAGTCTGTTTGATATCTTTTTTCTTTATTTTTCTTTTCACTTCACTCGTACTCGTATCTTTGGTGACGATTCGTTCGCTATTGCTATTTCATTTTCATTTCATGGAGAACTTTACTTTATCGCGAATACAGATTAAATGAAAATGTTAGTAAGGATCTTTGGTAGTTTTATGTTGAATGTTAAAAAAAATGAGAACAGTACAATTAAACTAAAAAGAATTTAATTTATATAAAATTGAAATTAATATAAATACTCAATTTTTTTTATTTTTTATTCTTCACTGTTGCTTGAAAAAAATGAAAAAGGTCTGATCATCTACATTTCAGTAATTTATTGTTGAAAAATTGTATTTATATCCTTAAAATATATTTTGTTCTATAAATTTATTAAATGGATTTTTTCTATTAAAGTAGCGACAAGCTTTTATTTACTAATGGCAATTTTTAAGAATCAAATACTATCGAGCGAAGCCTAGCTTTCGCAACAACAATCATCCGCCCATAGACAATCAACAAACTGAAATGAAAATGTCCGTCGTAAAAGAAACGTTTTTATTTTACTTTGTGACTGTGTAACGATTGTGGTTAGCTATGTGAAATATTTTATAGTATTTATTATCATCCAAGTGTACAATAATCTAGAAAAATGATCGTTCAAGAGCCCATACAGGTGGGTGTTGGGAAATATTCCTAAACCTGTCATTCGTTCTAATACTTTAAATGTATATTGTCCATTTTAATTTTCTACAGGTTATCGTTTGGGATTGTCTTAATAATTATGAATATGACAATGCTATTTTCCTGGCAGAAAGATTACACGCTGAAGGTAATATTATATGGATGAAATGTTTCAAAAATTATTTTTCAATCACGAAAACATTAAATTGTATCGATTTTATGTTACATTGAATTATTCATATAATCAATAATTCGTCCTTACTATTGTTGTAGTTGCATCGGAAGAAACTGCATTTCTATTGGGTACTTGTTACTACAGAGCTAGACGTTTGAATGAAGCCCATTATTTGCTACAAAATATACCACTTACATTGCCACAGGCTCGATTTCTTTTAGCTAAATGTTGTGTAGATCTAAAACTGTAAGTATTATAGAAAATATTTCCTTTTTCAAAAGTCTTCATAGCATATAAGTTTACAATTTTTTGTATATTTATCATTATATATATGTATGTATTTTATTCCTAATCAAACTAAATATGCAATTAGCTTAATGTCTTAGTCTTTAATGGCATGATCTGATAAGAAATATTTGTCATTAACTGGTCTTATTGTTGCAACTTATCATTTAACTAAACATAATTAAAATTTGATAAATGAATATACAGTTTTAATCTATTTGTGTATATGCATATGAAATTTAAATGCAATCAACAATAGGTTTGAATAAAAATAATGAAATCAAAAGGAAGTTAATTAAAAACAATGTTTCCTAGATAATTAAGATATCTTTTGAAGGATTTATGTATATTGTAAATATTTTGAATAGTTGCAAATTCATAATACTAATGTACTTTATTTAGTTTTTTCTTGTGTGCCTCATTAGATCTTGCGATAATTAGTAAAATATTAGAAACACCAAAATTTTAAAATTTATTTTTATTAGAAAATGATATCATTACTAACATTAGTAAACTTTACCTTTATATTTAATATGTATAAATTTTCAGGTACAAGGATGCTGAAATTGCTCTAGGAACAAATTTAGACATTGTTGCCTCTGAGTTTGGGGAACAGGCACCCTACGCTCTGCAACTGCTTGCAAAAATATTTAATACGACAGAAAGAAGAACAAAGGCGGCTGACGCCTCAAGGAAAGCGCTTGCTCTTAACCCTTTCATGTGGAAATCATTTCTTCAATTATGTAACATGGGTGAAAAAGTAGAACCTCATCAGGTATTCCAAATAAACAATGCTGAATTTACATTTGGTGTATCAACATTAGTTAATCTAGTCAGTAATTCAGAGAATATATCATTTGTTAATAGTAACATTCCTAATAATGCTAATGTGAATGCCAATGTTACTCCGAATAATGTGTCAAATCGTACACCGATGACAATGTCAACAAGCATAACACCAGAGACACAGGCGCCTGTGAAAAGAATGCATAGTGTTTTTAGTGGAATGGCCCCAATACCGTTTTCACCATCGTTTGGAATGCTACCCATGGAAGAATCTCCTATATTATACACGCCAACACTCACAGATTCAAATGAGCAGAAAGCTATTCCAAAGATTGTTAATTCATTAAGAGCACATGTCGGCCAATTGAAAGATGCTGTGTTCAGCCCCGGTCCGAGATGTACACTTGGACCGGCACCACGGAGATCATCTAGGTTGTTTAGCAATAACAATAGTAGTTATTCAGTAAAAGAAAACAATAAGTCACCAAGTAGGAAATTTGTAGCACCAAAAAGCCCAAGAAAAAATAAACAGCGGACAGCTAAAAATATCAAAAGCAACTCCGAGACCAACGAGAGAACTAAAAATATAGAAACATTAACACCTACGATAACGCCAAAGAATACAAATGGTGTAGCATTGTTGAACCTGCTTAAAGAGTTAGGAGAGGCTTATAAATCTCTAACACTTTTAGATTGTAAGAATGCAATTAAGTTATTTCAAGAAATACCGCCCAAGCAGCTAGCGTCGCCGTGGGTTCAAACTATGATCGCCCGAGCTCACTATGAACTGGCACAGTACGACGCCGCGGCTAAAATATTCGCTGAAATAAGAAAACAACACCCAAACAGAACTGAAGGAATGGATATATATAGTACATGTTTATGGCATCTTCAACGTGAAGCACAGCTATCAGCTCTAGCGCAAGAATTAGTCGAATTAGACAAAAACAATTCAATTTCATGGCTAGCAGCTGGCAACTGCTTCTCACTTCATAAAGAGCGCGAAACAGCTTTAAAATTCTTCAAGCGAGCTGTCCAAATCGACCCCGAAGCAGCATATGCTCATGCTTTATTAGGTCACGAATATGCTGTAGCTGAGGAAACAGATAAAGCGCTGACAAGTTTCCGAACGGCTGTAAGTATTGATCCTCGCAATTACGTCGCCTGGTTCGGTATAGCAACTGTTTACGCCAGACAGGAACGTTGGAAAGCATCAGAGGTTCATATTCGACGAGCTCTTGCAGTACATCCCCATTCTGGTGTACTAAGATGTCAGCTAGGTTTGGCACAAGCTGCTTTAGGTAAAATGGACCGAGCGCTAGCCACTTTAGAAAGAGCCGTGGCATTAGACACAGAAAATCCTCTGTGCAGATTTCATAGGGCTTCAGTCTTACTCAGAGCGGGGAGACCTCAAGACGCCTTATCTGACTTGCATCATTTGAAAGACATCGCACCAAGAGAATCGTTAGTTTATTATTTACTTGGGAAAGTGCACAACAAACTTGGAAATTCCCACCTAGCCCTGATGCACTTTAGTTGGGCTACGGATTTAGATCCTAAGGGTACTGGAGGACACATTAAAGAAGGTTTTGACCCCTCCAAACAGGAAGACCCTCCGGAAAGAACATCTTAGATTATCTGACAGTATCATGGAATAGCCTGAAGTCGTTAGCCTCATGGTCATATCTGACTGAAATCTCTTGTATATAAGGCGCTCACCCTTCGAACTCCGAATTGACACCAAATCTTCCAAACATAGCTTTATGGAGATCGAATGGTGTGTGAACGCATTTAGTTGATATAGTAGTAAGGGCGTATGTGGACTTGTTTATATAGAGTAAGTTGTGGATATTCCTAATGTTATCCTATAGTATATTAAATATCTTGTATAGCAAACAACTCTTGAAATTAACTACGAAGATTATGCTTTTGAAAGACCTAAATTCGTCAGGCCTTGATCTCGAAGCATAATTTCATACTAAATTATTAAAAAAAAAAAAAGTAATATCATTGACTTTGCAATAATTTTATTGCCAACATTAATTATTTATGCCTCAATAACTGATGGTATCCTCTATAAAAATTATTTTTAATTGTCCTGAAAAATAAAAAGTTCACGACAACCGCTGGCGGTGTTTCATTATTATAGAATTAGTAATCAATTTTGTAATATAAAATTCCTTTATATTATATTTACAACATTTGAATACAAATCGATTATATTGCATGAAATTTTCTTTTTAATTTGTTATGTATAAAAAGCTGTAATACTACTTGGATGTTCGGTAATGCCGCAGTATATGTAGACAGCTTATATAATTCGGATATTATGTGTACAAAATAACAAAACTTAGTTCATAGTATGTTTATTGAATGGTTTCGTGTTGTTTGTAAAATAAAATTCACCATTGTTTGTCTTTGAATCACCGGTCAACTGCTAGCTCTGTAAAGACATTGTACACCATGATTATATGTGAACTATAAAAATAACATTAAAACTAGGTCTTGAGTTTTATTTACATTTAATGAAAACACAATTATATATTGAGAAATTACTTTATTACTTATTCTTACTTAAATGTAACAAACTTACCTATTATGACAATCATGCTTAATATTTTTCACTTGGTCAGTTACAACTTAACAACTCATTTAAAATTGCAATATATACTTAACATATTTTATTCATACACAAATGTACTGTGAATAAAATAAAAAGTTTGCATAAAAGAACTACATAGTAGGTCTTTTGATGAGAATTTCATTAAGTTATATGAACTTCTGCAAGATTGAATCTAAAGCCTTTCTGACTGTTGGGTCATTTAGAAGTTTATTTTGTTCTGGCTTAGGCGGGGAGGGGGCGGGAGGTGATTCAGTTTTCGTCTTCTTGTCATTGAGTATACTTAATATTCTTTGTTGTAAATCAACTTGAGTCTTGTTGTTCGGTGCCGGCGTTGGCTCACCTAATTCTATTTTAACCTGTTGCTCTCTGCGTTCCTGTGGAACAATGAATGAGGTAAATTTGTTTGCTGCCACTTCGATAGAAAATAATATACTGTGTTGGAAAACAAATATTTACAAGATCAAAATCCTGTCACTTATATGAGTAACAATAATTATCAGTTCAATATGTAATATGATGTGCACCACAAAATTAAGCTAATTGCTCTAAAATACAAATTAACATGCTTTATTTTAATGTTTCAGAAGATACATATATACTATACAGGGTGACTGGTGAATTACTATCGATACTTGAGGACGTGATATTTGACGATCATATATGACAAAATAAAAATTAATATAACATAAATATTAATAAACTTCTAAGTAAAGTTAACCAAAAGTTATGTAATTAATTACGCATCGTGTGAACACCCTACAGATTAGGTATACACACACACTCACACATACGCGTGCGGCGGCGTCGTGTTGTATCAGCACGCCGCCGCACGCGTCCACACTAGGAACACTTGGAACGTGTCAACACTTTATTTATTTATACGGAAATTTTGGCAAAAATTAAGTGCCTATTTTTTTTTACAAAATTCGAATGAGGATCATGTACCGAGTATTCTCCTTAAATATTTATAGTAATTCACCAGTCACAATGTATACTTATACCATGTAAGGACTCCTTTTATCCATATACAAACTATGGATTAATAATTCTAGTATTCACTGGGCATGAAAATTATCAATAATGAAGTAACAGTAGCATGTATATCATCTGTATGTAAGGTCCATTGGGTATGAAAAGGTGTCAAAAATGGACTAACAGATTTCTGCAACTGCTCCCAAAAAAGTATATCATCTACATATATACCTGTAAGTATTCGATGACCTTATCATATTGCAACACGGTCAAAGCTCGTCCGTCAGCTAATTGCCCTAGCAGAGCGTACACCGCCTCCCTGCCACGCGCGCCACCTCGCTGCACTTCTTGGAAGTTGCGCGACATTAACGTCAACGCATCCTCTATAGGCATGTTGCGGTGCTCTGAAAATACAAGAACATTATGTAAACATAAAAATAATAAATGTTTATAATCATTTTAATACAGATTTCTCATGATATATAGGTCTATGATGATAATACTAGACTGTTTATTGAAATTATATATACAACAATCAGTGATGTAATGCTATGGCCATTAAGACAAAAAAAAAAATGTTATAAATAAAGCCATGTTGAGCTAATTTAAGAAGAAAGTACATTTGCAATGGATATTTCATCAACACTATTAGGCTTTCTAACAAACAATATTTGAATTTTAAGGCAAAGTATAGTAATTAATATATGTAATGAGTATACCTTGTGGTAGTCCATGTAGAATGGTCAGCGTGAGAGACCTATGTTCAAGGTTTGTTGGCATAACTAGTATCGCATAAAGACATCCACGTGACGCAATGTTCCCAAGCACTTTGCCTATTGGTACATCTTCCATGGGAAATAAAAGGTCTACGACTATGCCTAATCTCTTCAGACGTTCTTCTATGTACTCTGCATATTCTCTGTAAAAATAATATTAGCTTCAGCAATCATTTGTTTTGTTAAATATCATTAATATAACCATTTTTTTGTATTTACTTACGTTAAAGCTTTTGATACGACGATAATTTCGCAGTCATTCCTTTCAGGTACCGGTAATGCTCTTGGATAATCAGGTTGAGTATATCTGTCAAAGTTTCTTTCGGGCCAGTCACCTAAAAAAATTTTGTTATGAGTCATTACACACTTTTACTTAAAAAAAAACAGGATTTATTGTTCATAAACAAACAATGTTGTAAAGAGGTTGATAAATAAATATGTAATAACTTTGTTACGTAAGCATAACCAGATATTAAGTTTACGGTATAGCAATGGTATAAAGTACGGAATGCTGACTCTGAGCCATCGTTGGGAATGCAAAATGGGATTTAATATAATATATTCAGTCTGGAGTCAACCACTGACTTACAGACACCTATTTAGGTTGTAGTTAGTTATAACACTTAATTATAGAATGGGTCTTAAGTCAATCGCTAACTTAAAGACCCCACTCTAGCTAGTAGTTAAATTTAAGTCTTAATTGTTAAATTGAATATATTTTATAAGTAAAATGGATTTTTCTTGCATTCTTCACTGCATCCAAACATAATTACTTCAAAAAAATATATTTTAATATGTTTGCCTTAACCACCTCTGGCCACTATTGTATAAAGAAGAAAAAAAACCTAATTTTTTTATTGAAAACAGCTATGGTTTGTTATATTAGACTATAATACTAAGCCGCCATTAGTAACATCTTTAGGTCACATTTATGAGAAATTTCACCAATAAAGTTACCTCTTAGTGGTGATCTGTCCCTGAATCCTCTAGCATCATTATCTCTTATACTTCCTCTCCCTCTGCCTCTACCGCGGCCTCTGCCCCGCAAACCACCACGAGCCACATCCCGCTCGTTCCAACCCTTGTAACCATCGTCATAATCTTCTTCTCTATAACCTGATAAAAAAATTATCTACAATCTATAAGGTAAAAAAAATTAAGTAAACTTATTGAGTAAATAATCCTACTAATATTATAATTGCGAAAGTATGTGAGTGTGTGTATGTTTGGTACTTCTTCACGCTTAAACAGCTGAACTGATTTTGATAAAATTTTGTAAACAGGAAGCTGACGTCCAGGAATATAGCATAGGCTACTTTACATCCCAGAAATCCATATCAATAAACTCAAACCCTTAATAATGATGAAGTTTACAGAAACTTAATTCATTTTATTCATACAGGAAATTAAATAAATCTCTTAAAATATAATGTGATAGTGAAAATTTAATATTTAAGTTTTAAACATTAGTGTGAAGCACATGATGTAAGCTCAAATAGCAACTAGTCAACACATATATCAATATGGATATCATCGGATTAGTAATTTTTAAACAATTAGTAATTATTTAGTGTTTAATTTAGAACTAATTGTGAAAAAATACCTTAAAAGTCGTCAATATAGAAAATAATTTAGCTTAAACTTTCTTTTGATAATCTGCTTCCAATGTAGTAATATGAGCAATTATCCAATAGTACTTACGCAGATTTACACTTTCCGGATTCAGTTATACAGATTCGCGACTATCCGGACTATGGCCAAGTCGGGACAAAAAAAATGTCAAAGCGTAAGAGAGTGATGTTATTGAGAGTGGCGTACATCAAATGACAATTACCAAATATTCTAAACCAAATTAAACTTATTATTTTACTTTATGATCACGAATTGCAAATAACCAAATACATATTGTAATTTATTTTATGATTTAATCTGTTTTTAGTACATACATGTATCTGTATGTATATTTAATTTAAGAAAATATATCCTTTAATTATTTATTAATTAACACTGATTTATGTTGATATGTATTTGTTACTTTTTTGGAATAATCATATAATATTACATGTACAACATATGCACAAACTGGCTTTCTTCATACATTTGCATATCTTGATTTTCGATAAATTATCCGAATGCCTATGGACAACCATTAGTCCCGTTAATCAAGTTTTTCCTGTATATTTATTTCAAATGATGTTTAAGTTATGAAAGCTGTGTAATAATTTATCTAAAAAATGACTTATCCTTACCCTGATCATAGTTTCCATAATTATCGTATTGCTCTTCAGGAACCTCTTCTGGAACAGGCATTTTGTTATCACTGAGAGGTGCGACAGGTGGAATGTCGTTTTTAATTGGTACTGCTTCTGTTTCCCTGCTGAAATATAATTAATATTACAGTTCAAATGTTCAAGAACCTTATTTCATCGTGTCTCACACTTCGCATATATAAACATATTAATACAAACACACTTACGGTTTTGGTCCACTATTTCTAAGGGCTGCTCTAACTGTTATCTTTTTGCCTTGAAAAACACTTCCGTTAGCTTTTGCTATAGCTTCATTAGCGCTTGATTCCTGTTGAAACTGTACAAATCCGAATATTCTGTTTATTATGATACCGTCAATTTGACCATACTCTATAAAATGGTTGTATAGTTCGTCTACATTGGCGTCATCGGTAAGCCCCCCAACATATATTCGAAGATGTGCTGTTGCACGATCCTTCATAGCAACTTTATCAAGCGTCAATTTATCTGCAATAGACACAAATTATTAAAAATACTGCTTTACTGTGAAAAAAGCGCTTATAAATATTTGTAAAGAAAAATCACTAACCTGCCATGGTGGAGTTTTTAATAAACAGAAAAACTAATAATTTATAACCTAAGTAAAATTAATTAGTTATAATATGTATTAAAAAATATAATAAGAAGTTTAAATAACACAATCATAAACGTTCAATTAAAGCCGAAATCTACAAACTTTGACTGACAATTGACATGTGTCAAAATTGAGTCTAGTTCTTACTTCTTGTATTATGTTTTTTCTCTGTGTAACCTGCATAGTATATTCCGCCAATTTCATGTAATAAGTACCATATAATGAGGATTTTTTTCGGTTTCATTATTACATATTATTATCTTTTACTTTAACGCAAAAGAATTAATTAGTCCTCACTAATGTTGACTAAAACAACATACAAACACAATGTAATATACATAACTACGATTTACAAATTTATAAAAAAATATTAAGTAACGACCACATTTTGTATATCTTAAAATATATAGTTTTTAAATTTACTGTAAATACCAAATTTAAATATTTATACATTAAAAACATAATACATTTTACGGTAGAGTTTTTCGCAATTATTAAGAAGATAAATAATTACATCTATGTATGTTATATAAAGTTCATTCCAAGAATACCATTGGATACACAGTTAAAGAGACTATAAGTATTTGATATCAGTTTGTAAGGAATTTTTTATAATAATCCTCTGATCCTAAATTCAAAGGGTTTGTTATAAAAAGGCAACGACGATCATATGTATTTATATATTATAGATAAACTATCAATCATGTGGCCATAAAATGACATTGATATCTGACATAAGTACTTCGTAGGTAAGTACTTCATAGTCTTTAGGCTGTCATATCATTATGTATATTTTTAAGGTTATAATATAATAAACACATATATATATAATAAACGCAATTTTCATATTTTACAATTTAGTGTAAATTGTTATATTAATTTTTAAGTATTACTTAAAAGTAACAGTTTTACTTAAAGATTAAAATAATATATTAAAAATAATTCAAGATATACGAACGAAACAGGTGAGCATATTTATCTTTTTAAAAAATAATATCTTTTAATTTTTAAATAATTTTTAATTGAAGCGTTCATAATAATTATCATACAATTAGCGAAAGATGTTGCGAATCAATTATTTCGTCGATTTTCTAACACATGAGTATAAAATATTTAAGTTATGTCATATTATACGTAATTCATTACCAAGTAGCTTATCGGAAACATGCATAATCAAAATGGCAATAGTTATCCGATTTGAGATACATAAATCACATGAATATGAGTTATTTATATATTTTTTTCTTACCTTAATTAACGTCAATAAAGTTAAATATTTGTTCTAGGTTCTGATGAGAAGATTGTTCTATAAAGCATGTAATACATACCAAAAGTTTGTACACAGAGCCTTTAGTAAAAAATATTTATTTTACACCAATGTGCTGCTATCAATAGGTATATCGAGCACAGGTGACTTATTAGAACAAAGTTATGAATTGCATTTGAAAGAAATTAAGTATATTAATTTTAAACGGACAGCCCATATGGCATTTTCTGGTTGTACGGCTGGCATTTTATGCCATCACTGGTACCAATTTCTGGACAAAGTTATCGTCGGCCGTACCTTTGATATGGTTATTAAGAAGCTCTTGCTTGATCAATTCATATGCTCTCCAGTTATCATTCTATCATTTTTTGCTACTGTAGCAATTTTTGAAGAAAATCCTCTAAATAATTTCACTGATGAAGTTCATGACAAGTTTTGGAAATTGTATAAAGCCGAGTGGGTTGTATGGCCACCAGCTCAAATCATAAATTTTTACTTTCTGCCTACCAAATATAGGGTAGTTTATGATAATACAATTTCACTGGGCTATGATATATACACTTCTCATGTTAAACACAGCAAGAAGAAAAAAACAGAAAACGATAATTTATAATTGCAATAATTATGTTATTTTCAAAAAAAATCTTAAACTTGTTTTTCATATTAAATTTAAATAGTTAAATAAAGTTATCTTCTATCTCCATTCCCTTGTTTTAATCTGATTTATATATGACATATATTATTTTATATTATCTTTGTTTTTTCAGGCTTAGCATAAAATGCAAGCAATTGGTGTTACTTGGAGACGATTAGCCGACAACATCCGCACATCCAACACAGCGACTAGCTTCCGAAGATTAGTGAAAGTGGCTTTTAGTGATAAATATTTATTGTATACAAATGTTACCATATCTGTGAGTCTATCATCGGCTGGCGATTTGATGGAACAAACATATGAAATATATACCGGTGATCAGGATAATTATGATTTCAAACGAACAAGACACATGGGTTTTTCTGGTGCCGCACTTGGCGTGCTATGTCACCATTGGTACAAAGTATTAGACAAGGTTATTATAGGTAAAACATTTGATATGGTTACCAAGAAATTACTTCTAGATCAATTTATATTTTCACCTATAATGATAGTAACACTGTTTGGTAGTTTAGCATTATTCGAAAAAGATCCTGTAGCTAATTTTAAAGAGGAAGTTAGAGATAAATTTACTACTTTGTACCAAGCTGAGTGGATGGTGTGGCCACCGGCACAGATAATAAATTTTTATTTCCTACCAACTAGATTTAGAGTTTTATATGACAACACTATATCCTTAGGATATGACGTGTATACCTCACAGGTTAAGCATAATAAGTCACTTAAAAAGTAATAAAACCATTTTTTTAAATATAATTTAACTGTGGTTTTTTAAATAACAAATGTATGTAAACAATTTACAACACATCCAGACAGTTCTGTAATATTATTGTAATATTGTAATATTTGTATACAAATGTGTAATATAAGTATACAATGTTTCTGCAGATACTTGTAGCTCGGCTGTGATAATTGTAAAATAATGTCAATTAAATTTGTTACATATTATTTTGTTATTATATTATATACAAGTTCATATTTACTTTTTTTAATATCAAATATCCTCGTATTTAAAATATTTTTGGCAAATATTTTGTTTAAAAATCTTTACAAAAAACAGTTCAACGACTAATATTTTCGTATTAGGTTTTATATGCACAAGGAATAAAAGAGTAAAAGTTTATTGAATTATTGAAATAACTATATAATTAAAGAACACAAATCTTTCTATGTATTTGTTGACTTGTCACCAAAAAAAATAAACAATTTGAGTAATTTCCAGTAGGTTTATTTTTGCTATCATCCAATCAAATTGCATCATTTATATTTAGAACATACTTCTTATAAAATGAATTATAGTTGCCAGTTCTAAGATGCATTTTTGGTTTATTGTTCTGTATAGACTGTTTTAATTAATTAAATATGAAACAAACATCTTAACAATTTTGAATTTATAAAAATAAATCTGGTAGATTTTGTGAAATTCAATGTAAGGTAATACGGGTACATGACAAAAAGTAATAATCATTTCATGTTTTTACTTGTTTATTATGTTAAACATCGCATAATGTTGCATGGTGCGTACGTTTAGTAACTTTATTCACCAAATATTTATTTTTAAATAGTAGTAAATACGTAACAGATAAAAATTATTTTGGCGTTAAAAATTGTTCGTCAGTTGCTGACATTTTTGAATTTCTCTTACTAGCTCTCAAATTACTAATGACATTTCTGACTACGCTATCCTCAAATATTTTCTCCGGCCAGGATTCTATGCGTCTATTTTGTCCAAACTCCTGCAACGTAGGCAGCCTGCTCGCTCTTGGAGTTCCAAAATGGGACCTGAATGATCTCGGCCTTTTATTCTGTAGGCCTAGCAACGATGTGAGTAGTTTGTCTAGTGTTGCGATGTCATTGACATTCGAGCCCTTATTATGAGGGGTGGCTACCCCTGAACCAATCGCACTAGACCGGGTCGATGGCGGAGAACGAGGGTGAAGACCGATCGTTCGGATTACCTAAGAAATTATAAATAGATTATGAATTAAAGATTAGGAAAAATATCCCTAGAAAATAATTTACTGTTGGTACTAAATACAACTTGAATTCTTCAAGTCTTTAAGATGGTAATTAATCGAGGAAATAAGCTGCTTTTATTTACTGTTAATTGTGATAAGCAAGACTATACAGGGTGACTGGTGAATTACTATCAATATTTAAGGAGAATACTCTATTTAAGGAGAAACACGCCGCCGCGCGCGTGTGTGTGTGTGTGTGTGTGTATACCTAATCTGTAGGGTGTTCACACGATGCGTAATTAATTACATAACTTTTGGTTAACTTTACTTAGAAGTTTATTAATATTTATGTTATATTAATTTTTATTTTGTCATATATGATCGTCAAATATCACGTCCTCAAGTATCGATAGAAATTCACCAGTCACCCTGTATATACACTTTCCTTATATAGAAGTACACTATTAAATGATATAATTAATTCATCGTGACGTTATTAACAATTTTTAAGAAAACCATATTTGATCTAATGTGTACAGCTGTAAATGAAAACTGTAAATATAAAAATGCTGTAAACATCTGTGAATCACAAAAGCACTAGCTTTATATAACAGAACGAATTCAAAATATAATTTCAAAACTAGAATGTATTTTCTAGCAAAAATACCGACACATTTCTGTCCAGAGCGTTTAACAGTTGAAAGGTTATTTTTAGCATTTCAAAATGAAATTTCAATTTTATTTCTCCACGCCTGAACTGTCAGTTAACTGACTTTTCTATTTGATAATTAAAAAAAACAAGTATCAAACCTCATCAGCATTGTGACTTTGGTAGCTCATTCTTTTGACTTTTCTATAAGTTTCGTCGTCAAGTGCTTCTTGGACGGCCGCTTCCAGTTTTTCTTTTACTCCTTCATCACTGTGATTTAAATCTTCTAACACCAATCTGAAATAGGAAGCATATTTTTTAATATTTTAGTACCAGTTTAAGACTTAATAATAAGTACGGCAAAAAGAGTTTACACGAAAAAAATAATTAAAAAAATCATGTAAAAGTAAAAAATATAATAATAAAATGTTACCAAATTCAAAAATTTGCAAAATCTTAAAATTTTTTCAAATGTATTCCTACCCCAAGTCATACCTATTACTATTGTTGGTTGAAATTTGATATTTCCATAATATATTCAACACCATTAAATAATATATTCAATACAAAAAGCTATTGGACACATTTAAATATAACTTTATCGTAACAAAGTAATTAAGAAGCTGGTCCTTACTAAACATATGTTTACATTTACATGCATTATACAAACAGCAATTACAAACTTTTCACTGATAAATCAGCATTAATCAGTGATGTCTAAATACTCTTAGAAAGTACATATTACTCGGAAAAATCACATTGGTACTTGCCTGGGCCAGGATCGAACCCGCGCCCTCGTGCATGAGAGGCATTCCTTTTCAACCACTAGCCCACCACAGATAAAACCGATTATATTTCATTGCTTGTATTTATAAATATTCCGTATTACCTCTATATAAATTATCAATAAAAAATTTATTTTTTCGTCGATTAAGTAAACATATTTATATCATGAGATCGAAGACATTTACGAGTATTCATTTAAATGAAACCAATATTTTCGGATTACTACGCGTTATTATTTTCAAAACCACATATGTACCTACTCCCAACGTTTCGGTTACTTTACAGCAACCGTGATCACGGGCATACGAGATGTTAATCTCATTCATATATTATTTTTCCGATACTATCAGTTTCATAAATATATCATCTTACTCAGTTCTTTCATCATCTTCAGCCTGCTGTAAGTTTGCTCGGTTGGCTTCCCTCGCCACCTTAATATCTTGTTCCCAGAAACGTCTCAAGTCCGGCGTCGATGTATACGGGGCTGCCACTTCTTTTATTTTCAAAAATATAATAGCCGTTATGAATATACAGATGACGTTCACTATTGTGAGACAACAGCTTACAATACCTGTAAAAAAGGCGGAATTATGACTAGTGATCATATCTGTTAATCTTATATAACTAAGTGAGAACTCCTCTGAAACAGATGGACCGATTTTGATGAAATTTTATGAGCATATTGAGTAGATCTAAGAATCGGCCAACATTTATTTTTCATACCCCTAAGTCATAAGGGTTGTTTACCCAAATTTTTTTTGTCGCTTAAAATTTTTGTTTTATTTTTTATAATTTAGCATTGAAAAATACATACCTACAACCCAAATTTTTTACTTCTTTATAAAAAACTCCTATTTTTTTATATGGCAAAACAAGTGTTGCCAGGTTAGCCAGTAATTACATATATATATACCTATAAAACTCACCATTGACAGCGAACTCTATTGGCAAGTAGTCATGATAAAGTGGGACGTAAGACGAATTACCAGAATAAGGCTCTCCTTTGATGTGTGGAATTTTAACGCCCGGGTACAACAACCATATACAAGCCAGTGCCCAGAATAAGCCCTTGACAGAAAGTAAAGTAACGTAAATTATAAATGTCTCACAATGAAACTGGGACAAAAAGGATACACAAAAACCTATGAATTATAAATGCATTGTATTCATTCACCCTCGTTTAGTTCATTACATTTATAAATTTTAAATTATTTAAAGAGCAATTTGATAGTTTGGGAAACTTGGACAATTGTTTTTGGACATTATTTTAATAGACAGTTTGAAACTAATACTACTTTAGAACAAATATTAAAGTTTATATATACATACGTAGATATGGCTTATAATTGAAGTATCATTTACTTACACAATTAACGACTGGTGGTAACAAAGACGCAGATATTGCGATGCCTATCAGCGGGCCAGCGCTGCCTTGAAGTAGGGCGAGGGCTACACCTGTCCCAGAGGTCAAAGCCCAAAGGACGCCCATCCATAATGACCGCACATTACCTCTGAAAATAACATAGCTTAAGGTCCTTAGAAAAATGGTCTCCTATTAAGGCTTATAGGATATTTCATACCATTTTTGTTACTATCAAACCTTATAAATCCACAATATTAATACGACGTTCATCCATCTTTTTTTGGCGTTGATTATAGAATAACTAAGTCATAATTCTTACTCATTTATCTTAACTGAATTACCTTGACTTCATTTCTTCTGTGGGCCAATCACCAAAACCCCAGGGCATTTCCGTCGTTCCCAGAATGAGCCCAAAAATAAAACCGAATAATAGAGATAGGAACATGCCCAATATAAGGCTCTCGAAGCCGCTTCTCACTAGATTTCTATCAGCAATGATTGTACCAAACGTAATTGACATGACGGGGCCCATTAGCGGGGAAACCAACATTGCGGCTACTATGTTTGATGCATTGTTTTCTACAAGGCCCAAAGCTGCCAAGGAACTAAAATAAAAAATATATATCAATTAAATGGAAATTAACGTACGTAACCACAAGTATTTGATATCTTTAAAATATGTATCAATTAGGAGTGTGTTTCATACAAATATTTTATTACTTATCGTGTAACTTATAATGAAAGAAGTAACAATTTTTTTATATATGTATATATTTTTATTAGTGCCGGACGATAGTAACATTGTATAAGTTATTTTCCAATAATAATTATCTTGCAATACATACTTGTAAGTACAAATACTCACTCGGCAGTAATAATCAAAGTGAGATAGTCAAATGACAATTCACCTCCACCCCTGACTCCGTCCACTACCTGTTTAACTGTCAATTTAGATCTGATTGATTCGACGAAATTGCGCCAACGTTTTGCTTCCTCATTTTTCCTTCTTGAAATTGATGAACCAATTAAAATGCATCCTTACCCGAAGTTTACAAAACACACTACATACAGAGACTTAACAGTTTTTCATTTATAAACTTTAGCACATTACCGTTTTGTATAAATATAAATATCAACCAAATATGGCTTGTGTTTATATAGATCAATATGATAATAACGTGTAGAATATGATACTGCATTGTTATAAGGCAAATAATTAAATATTCGAAAAAGACTTTCGTTTTGTTAAATTTTAGAATTAAGCAGTTTGGTACATGCTTTCTAATTGAATCAACTTTTGTTTATGAAAAAGCAATTTATTATGTATTCGTTGAATCGATTTTATTCGTATATAATTTATTGAGAGCAAAAAACGGCAAAAAACGTGAGAAATATCAGGACTTTTAAAACCATTTTTTTTACAAAAAATCTAGTTCAACTTACAGCAGTGACTCATCGTCTTCAATTTCGTGATCTGAAGCGGCGTGCACTACATTACACGGTAGTACGCTGAAACCATACAAGTAATGTCACAAAAGTTTTGTTTGTAATAAATTGTTCCTACTTCAAAATATATATACTTAAATATTCTACCCAGAACATTTTATTTAATATTTTTTATCAGTTTATATAGGTCGAGGTTATGAATGTCATAAACCTACTTAACGATAGATTTATTACGAACTCCAATGCCCAATTGCGTGAGACAATGCAGCATGGTTTCGCACTGGTCTCCCGTCGGTAGGGGGAACACGACTTCGTAGTAGTTCTTTGGCTTATCACTGACCCATATCGCTTGTTCCACATCGAGCTTTCTTAGCAACTCCTGTAGAATCTATAAAAGATTTTACTGTCAAGTAGATTGGGATACATACGAAATTATGACCGAGGAAAACTAACGACAGATGCAAGAAAAACATAAAAATTATTAAGAAAGAAATTTATTATGTAAATAATAAAGCTAGAAAACAACTTTTATACAACATAAAATTACAAAAAGATTTTAAGATATTAATTTCGTTTAATATGAAACAATATACATACTTGAATTAGGCCAAATCTTTAACTCGATTATACTTACGCTTTCCATAGTAAAGAATTCATCATTTTCCGTTATATTTTCCAGGGTTGTTCTGAAAACATCGTAGTGGTGCTGAGTCAAATGTATCGGTATATTCTTTTCTTTTTTATAACGCAGTTGAACCTCCAAGCGCGGTGTCTCTTCATCATGAATCGATATCAAATCACTACGTTTACCGAACTTCAAGATGTGTTCGTAGTTACTTGATGGTATATAAATCATGAATATCACACCGGAAGGCATTATGCTATCTGTTGTTCTAATCTGATTCTCAACTAGCGCTTCAATGTCTAGAATATTTAATATGATGTCGATAATTGACGTGATTGTCGCTAAATGTTCATATTATGAAACGGTATCTAATTAAGAAATACCTTCTTAATAGGCGATACTGTTTTAATCCGACTGTGGAAGAAAAATAGTTAGGTATAGTAAAAATAGGTATGGCCATTAGAAAGCAGAATGTAAAAATTTATATAATTCTTCGATGTGTAGCGTTAAGTACCATAAATAATAAATTTGTTTAAAACAAAAGCGACTTATAATTTTATTAATCCTAAGCCGTGTTTAACAAACAATAAGTTTTGACTATTAGGGCTATTGGAACAAGGTCGGTTTTAACTAGTAATTATAAAAAGTATGAACTGTTTTTTAGAAATTATAAATAAAAAATACAGTTTTTTTTTCATATATTTCGTAGGTACTAGTTTTTGGTCGCGACTTCGGCCGCATTAACTTCGCAATAGGTCTCAGAGACACCTGAGAGAAAAGTGATCATTTGTATCATACATAATACAAATGTTATATTATGATGCCCCGGTAATACAATAATAAGAAAAGTTTAATCAAAATCCGTTCAGTAGTATTTGATTCAATGACAAACAAAAATATATACATCCCGATAAATTTTCTCATTCACATTAATAACGTTAGTGGGATTTATTTGAAATGATTTGTGTGGATTCTTGTTGAAATTTAAAACGTTACGTTTCCGTGGAGCAATACCTTCCTTTGTGACACTGTCAAAGCCAAGAGGGATGACAGCTATAGTAAAGTCTAAAAAAAATAATATTTTTTGTTTAATTATGTCTATATTTACACATTTTGAAATCAACAGAATGATAAGAAAGTCACTAGTATATTTTGATACAATATTTCAATATTACAAACGAAAGCACAAAAAATATATTTTATGTAATACAAAGTAAAATATTGTCTTTCATTGATAATCATAATTGATTAATTCATTTTTCACAAGTAATTCATCTGAAATGACTTTATTTTTATATAACAGTGGAAAAATACGTGTTTTATTAGGTGTTCATATTTTTAGATACACTATTTTCTTTTGACGTCACTCCGTTTTACCGATGACGCTTGCAAGTTATTAATATTGTTCAAGCAATCTGTAAGCGACAACAAGGATGTTTTTGATGAAGAACAATAAAATATAATTATATTTCTAACAAGATAAATGTGACAGGACACTTACTCAGAGTTGAGTGGTTTGATATTTTAATTAATAATATTTCACTTGACATAAGTAATATTTATTTTCATATATCTTTTCCTTGTTAAAGTTGACATCGCATATAATGATTAGGAACTTTATACAGTGGTTTATGCTCTGCCTAATTTACCTTCTGAAATACGAAGTGAATGAGATTCTGGGTTTTTCTTTTTTGAATTCCCTTACCGTCCAAAGTTGGAAGATATGTTAAACTCAAATTACAATAAATAGTCGTTTATGTCAAACAAGCTCTTCCACATAATTCAAAATATTGATTTATACGAGTACATACATTTTTAACAAACTAACATAATATTGTTTTTTATTTATACTTGTATTACTTATTCAAATAGTCGTGTTTACGAGATCTAGTTTAGATGAGAAAATCTAGATTATTCGAGAGTTTTCGTATTTGTGTAAACTTTTAGCCTAAATAAGATACAACCTTAAAACAAAATACTTCCTTAAAGTTGAAACAAGTTACAAAACTAGTCGTGTTCTCAATTGTAGTAATTGGATTCGTTCGATCACGCCAACAGGAGATTGGTGTCGCGACCTAATGCAAAAGAATCAACACACCGGCTACCTTTTGTGTGAACTGAACGAAAAAACAAATTCATTTACCTTAACAGATACGTAATTTATCCCTATTTTATACTAAGTGCACCCTGAAGGATACATTTTATTACAACATGTATGTTGCTATGTGATTGGGTAAAAAATGTTTCAATTTAGCTGCCTTTTTTGTTCAGGGATCAACATAGGCAGCTCCTGTATTTATTTTCATGTGGATAACTTAATTTACGTGAGTCTTAATATATTATACTTATAATTGGTAAAGCGATTACTATTATTTTTAATAATAAGAACATAACTTGTAATAACTACTGATAAAGATTTCACACTCGTAGTAATGTATAAACAGCTGAATTGTCTATGGAAGGACTAAATATAATGATATCATATTTATTGATTTTGAAACTGAAATACAAAATTATTTTAACTTTGCGATAGGATCTTAAAACTATTATTTAATTATTACAGTACTTTGTATACACTTAGTGTATTGAATTAAAATAGACAAACTTAATAAAATGTTGACGGAAAATAAAAAAGAATTTAACTTCCAGATTTCTGCGACTCTTCTATTTTATCGATTTCTCACGGTATTGTACTATCAGAACGGACTTTTATTAAAGGGTCGCATAAAATGCATATTGTTTTATCGATTTCTGAAATAGTTTCTTACACTAAAATGTTTACTTGATAAAGCCAAACTAACTAAGATGTGTTGGTGTTTTCCATTTCAAGTCTTTTTAATGCGAAAGTAACTCTGTCTGTCTGTATGTTACGCTTTCACGCCTAAACCACTGAACTGATTTAAATGAAATTTGGTACAGAGATAGAATTGATCTTGAGAAAGAACATAGGATAGTTTTTATCCCAGACTTTTGAAAGGTTCTCTTGGAAACGCGATATAACCGACTTCACGCGGGCGAAGCTGCGGGCGGAAAGCTAGTAGTCTTATAAATGTCACGAGGAAATAGAAATGCGTCAAAAAAATAAGTAATTGTTCATTCAAATTATCATATACAAAACAACGAAGCCTTGCAAGTGCGATATAATATTCTGAATATCGATTTTATCGTTAAATAGATAACATCGATTTTTTATAAACTCGTCTATTTTTCATTTAGCTCATACATCGCTGTGATTGTTCGTCGGACGGTCAATTGATTGATAGCTTGTACGTGATAAAATAAAATGTTATTTACTAGTTACAAAAATACTATTATTTATATTTATATTTAGGTTTACTTTATATAAATATTTCAAACGAAGAGAGTATTTTCTATATAATAAGTAGTCGTAATTAGACATATTCAAAAAATATTACAAAAATTACAAACAATATGATACCTTTTATAACATACATAAATGATTAGATAAATATAAAAAATAAGCTATTTAACAGTAAAAAATTATATATAAGTATACAATACATTAAATAAAAAAACTATACAAAATAACTTTTTCTAGAACTATTAATTTGTCTATTTTCATGTTGTGAAGAGTATTACGTATACAGAACACATTAGAATATCTGATTCTGAACATCGGATTCAATTTAATCTTATTTATTATAATGCTGTTATGTCAAATGTATTGAACACAGGTATGACAGACTATTAATTGTTATATGTCACTATTTTACGCGCCAAACTGTATATATTATTATAAAGATATGTAGTTTTCACGTTTTTATTTATTTATTACCTTTCCGCCCGCAGCTTCGCCCGCGTGGAGTTCGGTTATATCGCGTTTCCAAGAGAACCTTTCAAAAATCTGGGATAAAAACTATCCTATGTTCTTTCTCAAAGTCAACTGTATCTCTGTACCAAATTTCATTAAAATCAGTTCAGTGGTTTAGGCGTGAAAGCGTAACAGACAGAAAGAGTTACTTTCGCATTTATAATATTAGTAGGGATGTTCCGTTAAAAATGTGTAGTAATGAAGTTATTTTAATAGAAACTCCTTTGAGTTACGATTGTTGAATAAAAGTGTTATTAAAAAATGTAGAGCTTAATAAAGAACAAATATTTATGAATTATATTTGTCTATTACTGTCGTGATTATCTTTGAAATTACTCACCAGATGGTACTTTGTTTGTCACGTTACGTTGAACTAGGTTTTGTTTCTTTTATTTTTGTTAAAATTAGTATTTTTTGTATTAAGTATATAAAATATAAAAAGTGTGCGTAAAAAGCCGGAAAAAATATTGTTATAGGAATGAAGTTGATAGAAAATTCAGACAGTCATATAACTTAAAATACTTTTGTACATATAAATGCACAAAAGCAATGTTGTTGTATGGAAAAATAATACTAGAATTTATGTTAACTTATCAATAATTGGTAAACACATTTTGGGGTTCAAAGTATGTATTATGTTTTGGGTGTGTAGAGTAAGTAAGGTGGCTTTTTAACTTAGATATAAAAAAGTATTTATTTATTTATCAACCTCCATGTTGTTTACAGCGATGAAATACACTTATGACAACGTTTTACCAATCCTCGAATAATTAAGTTTTGGTTTAGCCTTGATTTTTTCAGTTGCAAATTTTATTTCCTCAAATGTAAACACCTTCAGTTTTAGAAAATTTTTATAGTTTTAAAAGGTAGATATAGTTAAGGTTAAATTTTGACACCAGTTCTGATATTTTTGAATAATCAGAATCTTCATTGAAGTCCTTCAATAGCTCCAAAGCAGGTTCATTCGACGGCCATTCTAATCAAAATAAAGAAGTTCTGAAACAAAGTACTCTATCAACCGTTTTACACCTAATAAATGTGAACAAATATCAAAGGACAAGGCAAAGCAAAGCAGGCCAATTAATATGCTTAGTAACTTCTCTAGCGGCGATTCAATCGAGGGATAAAACCAGTTTCTTCCCTGATGCAATGACTCTATGTTCTTGATTTGTTGGTGCTACCAGAACCTGGTTTCTCATTAAAATCTTTTCGGAAACCTTGAAAAGTAAGGTTAGCTCATTAATATTTCTTAAATTTGGATAGACTTGCCGATAGGCAATGTCGATATTTTGAGTATTATTGAGCTTCTAATTACTAGTAGATACTATTTTTAAAAGAAATTCTTTGGTCCATTTTTGCAATGGCAGAATATCGCTGAAATCACCCAAACAAATAAGTCACAAGTTTATATTTGTGTAAG